TTTGTATGGTACGTCAATCTGGATTGGAAGTTGTCTTCTTTCAGAATTTCACATACTTTACTCCAAGCTCTTGAGTGTTTGTGTTGAGAAGTCTGCTGTGATTCTGATGGGTTTTCCTTTACAGGTGATCTGTTTCTTTTCCCTAATAGCCTTTAATATTCTGGTTTTGTGCTGAATTTCTGGGATCTTGATTTTTATAGTCTGGGTATAGATGTATTTTGGTTATGGCTAGCTGAAGTTCTATATGCCTCACTTATCTGTATGTCAGGTCCTTTTCTCATGTTTTTGGGGAGCTCTCTGCTATTACTTCTGTAAATATAGTCTCTTTATGTCACCTATGTTGACTCCTGTTTTATGTCATCTTGTAGCCGTTGAATTGTTATTTCCTGGTTTTTTGTTATTTTTAAGAGATCTTTCCTTTTGCAGTCCCTACCTGCCATCCTGTCTTCAAGGTCTGAAAGTCTATCTTCATTTTTTCAAGTAGTCTTGCCAGCTTTCAATAGAGTTTTTGATTTCCTGCATATCTCTTTGAGTCTTTTTCCTGTGCTCCAATTCTTCTCTAGATTGTTCATTCATGGTCCCTCATTCTATGCTCCTCTTTTTTTTTTTTTAAATCTATATCTTTAGATACACTCGGCAACCCTTTCATTCTGTTTGTCATTTCTTCTTTTACCTAAGATATTATTTCTGATCTGACTTCTTTTACAGCCTCATGAAGTAGTTTCTTTACTTCATTTGCCATCATCCCAGAAATTTCAGGCGTGCAACTTCTGCTTTCTTCTATGTCCTCGTCTCCTGGATTTGTTCTGCTTGGGCTGGACACCAGAGATTTTCTTTTACTTTTATTTATTTATTTGGCATTTAGCTTTAAGCAAGAACTTTTTCTTCTCATCTTTTCATTTATTGTACTAATGAACACTTTCTATTTTATTTAATGGATTCCTTTAGTATGATTTATTTTGATGCTCCAGTTGTCCTAGATTTTACCAAAGGGAGGCTGTTAAGCTGGCTTTTGTGTCTTTTGAAGGAGCGGGGTCAAGTGAGGGTCTCACTATATAGTTCAGGCTAGTTTTGAACCTTAAATTCACTATGTAACCCAGGCTGGCCTCAGTCTTGTTGCAGTCCTCCTGCCTCAACCTCCTGAGTGCAGGAAGGTACCTTTCACTGGATCATTATAGGTATAGGCAGGTACCACTCTGCCCAACTTTTGTGTCTTTTTGACATGACCCCATCGTTCTTTGAGTACAAAATGTTTCAGGTTCCACTTGTTGTTTTCTCCTACTTGACCCTGCAATGAGGCATATATCCAGAGAGCACCGCTTGCCTTGTCATGAAAACAGTATTCAGTAATCAAGGTTTGGATACTGTGTAGCTCATTGCTCTGGATAACCTAGGAAGCATAAACATACATGGACATTTACATCTGTATTTATTTCTGTGTTTATCTATGTTGTCCATAGTAGTACGTCCAGTTCTAGTTTGAAACCACATTCTTGCCTTCCCTTTCCATATTTTAAATTCTCTGCTCCAATAGTGAGAAATCCATCTTTCATTATTATTATTATTATTATTTTTTTTTTTTTTTGGCACCAGGGATCGAACTCACGACCTTGCGCTTGCCAAGCAGGTGCTTATGCCGCTGAGCTAAATCGCTGACCCCGTCTTTCATTGTATTCCCGTATTTATTTATTCAATTCCCTTGTGTCCAAGTGAATCTCCTGACCTTGTTGGGCCACCACCTTCCCCAGATGCCCACGTTGTGTGGACTTAGACCCCCCTGAGGCAGCCTGTAGCACCATCTCAGGGGTCCCTTCCCACTCTGCCCACCATCTTCCTCATCTTTTCAGGGCTAGACTGCCAGTGGCCTCAAGAAGCAATGTCAATCAAGTAATTCACTTTTTAAGTACCAAAAATAAATAAATAAATAAATAAAACACAAAAAACTTCTGTTAATCAGATAATCAGAACTTGATTAGTAGGCCAGATCTAAAACTAGTGTGAGCATTGGTCTAGACAATATAGGGAATGGTGATCAGAGAATAAATATTGTCTGTTTAATATGGATTTTTCTGGAAGCTGAATGATCTCTGTGGGTTAGGAAGAAGGATGACCACATATTCCTCCCTTTTTCCTCTGTGGTCTTTTGCAGAGTTCATTGGGCTAAGCAAAGTACACATAACAGTGCTTCTGTCCCTAGGAGAACTTTTCCATTAATGCAAAGGGATTTTGTTTTTTGCTTTTTCTAGTTCTTGCTTTTTACTGCTTCTTAGGCTATGCAGAAGCCCACTCTTTATCTGTAGTAATCTTGTTTACTTAAGGCTCAAAATATAATGATCCAGTGAAAGGAGATGAGGAAGAAGAAGAGTGACTTTTTTCAAGTATTTTGTCCTTGAAAAAAGGAATGTAGGAGTAATAAACGTGTTGAATATCAGATCTGCCCAACCATGGGAGCCTGTCAAGCTTTTTGACCAACTTAGATCAGGAGCTCACAGCAGAAAAGAGAAGCCCCTTTCCCTGAAGCAGACCTTCCCCTCCCCAGACCCATCATTTATCCAGGCGAGAGGACAGCAGGAGGTATGTCACTGTGAGGTCACATCTGGCCAGGGGGACCAGGAGTTCAGAGTGACTGTCTTCTGTCTGCTTTTAGAATCTCTGTGGGAAGAAGATAGGATGTAAAGGCAAGGCTTAGCCAACGCGTGACATGCCGAAGAGTTCAGTGATGATTCCTGAAGTCTGTTGAAAATCTGAGGTCCTTCTCAGGCACAGACACCATGCTTGTCAGACTCTTGTCCCTCAGCCTTGCATGTCCAACGAGATTTTCCCTTTGTCCGCACCCTTTTCCTGGCCTCCTGTTTGGTTTAGTGTTTGGAGTTTGGCTCTTTTTTTTCCCCACTACTGTTCTTTTGGCTCGTGTGTATTTCTGGTACAGGGAATTAGGGAGTGGAGATAGTAGTGGGTGGCTGAGAAGAAATAGAGAAGAGGAAAATTTTTAAATGCTGACCTTTAATGTGGTAAGAAGTCATGTTGACTTCATAGTCTGGATAAACATATGTAAATAATTTGTAAATCATATGAAAATAAAGTTGTGGCCTTCCTGGTTTTTTTCACACACTTGGATCAGCCTCTTGGGAAAATCACATTAGAGAAGGGTGGTATGTAAACAGGGCTTGATATTTGCCGGCCGATTGCCTTGAGTGGCCTTTTGTTAATATCGACCATCCCTGGAAAGTTTTCTGTCTCCCTGCTTACTTTCCTCAGAGGCACATATATTGTGTGCTTTGGTCTTGTTAGACCAAAGTCCAGGATATCAAATTGCTGTCCTGTTTTCACTGGGCTCCATGTTTAATCCCTCTGTCTTTTGCCTTCATTCCAAATTCAGGAATTAGTCTCTTGTGCTTTGCCCATATTTTGCTGTTCTGCTTTGTCTGCTCTTAATGTGGCCATTGTTGTTCTCTGTAGATTAAATATTACAGATCAGTTCTGTTCTTTCTGTGGATATGGGTTCTAAGTCTGTACCACCATGTTGTTCTTTCTTTCTTTTTCTTAAGTTTCCCCAAAGAGTGTTGTAATACCAGGCTCTGTTTGGACACTCAGTGTTTCTTTCTTTTGTTTTTTTCCAAGTTAGTATCTTTAATGAGTTTATACAGATTTATCAGACCTCAGTAGATGGAGCAAGGGACATTGACAATCCACAAAAGAGGAACTAACAACTATCGAATGTGAAGAGATACTCAACTAAGCTAGAAACCCAAGACATGTGAACTAAAATACAATGCCTTTGTTGTTATCAAATCAGCAAACATCTAGCCTCAGAATAATAGCCAATACTGGCAAGCTGGGTACACTTCCCCCTTGCTGGTGGCAGTGTAAATGGACATTTTTGGAAACTATTTTGTGCCTAGATAATGAAAACCTGAAAGGTTTTTGTATTCTTCACTAAAGCTCCCTCTGGGAACCTATCCCAAGGAAATAGCCTGATGTTGGGAAAACCTTATGCAGAAATATTCGATTGGAAGCAGTGAAAACTTGGCAACACCGACACTCAGTGTTTCTTGATCAGCTAAGCCCAGTTATCTTTAATGTCTGGCACATAATTTCCCAGATTGTGACCAAATTTGCAATTTTTCATCTTTCCTATTTACGTGGAGTTCTATATCAGAAAGAGCATTTCATAGGAGTTATGATCAGGGGTTTTAGAATCTGTGTGAACTTGTGCTAGTAACCTAGTCTTTTTGGATCACATTGAGTTCATGTCTCTATTTTAAAAATCAGATATAGTCTGGGATGGTGGTACACACCTATAATCCTAGCTCTTGGGAGACTGAGGAGGGAGCTTTGCCACGAGTTTGAGGCCAGCCTGGGCTACATAGTGAGTTTAAAGTTAGCCTGAACCCGAAATAATGAAACCCTGTCTCAAAAACAAGACAAAACAAAACTTTAGATATCATGTGACATAGTCTGTAGGGTTTCTCTAAGGATTAAATTTGTGTGGGGGGATTTAGCTGGGGATTTAGCTCAGCGGCATAAGCGCCTGCCTTGCAAGCAGGCAGTCGTGAGTTCGATCCCTGGTACCGATAAAAACGAAAAAGACAAAAAAAAAAAAAATTTGTGTGTGATATTATATATAAAACACTTAGCATAGGCTTTGGCACTTAGTATGGATTCAATATTGATTAGGTAATGATGTCACTTCATTATTATTATTATTATTGATATTAGTAGTATCTCACTGATCCTTAGTTGTGGGTTCTGTTTTCTTTCTTGCTTTTTTTTTTTGTTTGTTTGTTTTTGTTTTTTGTTTTTTTTTGAGACAGGGTCTCACTATACAGTTCAGACTGGCCTTGAATTCACCAAGTAGCCCAGGCTGGCCTCAAATTTACAGTAATCCTTTTGTCTCTGCCTCCTGAATGCTGGGATTACAGGCCTGTGTCATCACACCCATCTGGCTTCTATTTTCTTGAGACTCTGACTCTGGCATTTAACCTGTGTCCTTCTATCAGGTTTGCAACTGTGCGATATGACCAAGGAGCCAAGAACATTCGGAACCAGTTCATGCACCTGACAAACTACAGTGTGAATAAGAAGAGTGGAGACTACGTGAGGTACTGGCTGTGCCTGAGCTCCGTCAGAGAAGTTGGGCTTGGTTTGTAGACGCAGAACGTGAACGCGTTTCACTGGAGCATAGCGTTAGGTTTCTGGCCCCGTAACACTTAGGGAAGGGTCGGGTAATACAGCTTTAGGTATATTTGTTGCTGCTTCTCCATTGCCTGTGCTGTTAATGCACTGCCTTTCTCCATCAAAGTATGCTTTCATCATTTTATTTTCCTTCACTTCGCTAAGGGGTGGAAAGTTAATAGGCATATGAAATCTCTCTTTTTTTTTTTTTTTTTTTTGGTATTCTTTTGTTTTGTTTTGTTTGAGACAAGGTCTCACTATGTAGCTCAGACTGGCCTTGAACTCACAGCAGTCCTCCTGCCTCAGCCTCCCAAGCCCTGGGATTGTAGGTGTGCACTACCACGTCTGGAGGAACTTTTTAGAAGTCAAGAAAAGAGATTACTTCAGCACTTGGAAAACACACCAAAAGCTTAAAAAATATGTGCTCTTTGACACAAAGTTCCATTTTTAGAACTTAACCTTAAGAAAGTAGGCTCAGAGGCAAGAGTATTTTCTACTGTGTTGTCAGAGGCAATAAAATCACATTATAAGACAGTGTATGCAAGTGAACTTCCTCACTGAATACATAACTAAAGCTGTTATGGTTGAGGAAGGAGGAAAAAAAGGGAGAAAGATACACACTGAAATGTTAACTGTGCTTAACTGTAAGAGATGAGATTGTGGGTGGGTGATTTTTGTTTTCTTCTATGTGCTTTTATATATTTTCTAAATTTTGTTTGATCAGAAAAAAATGAAAGAGAAAAAGCCATCTCAGAAAAGCTTTCAATGAAAGGGAATACCAATCCAGCTGTGTGGAAATATTCCCCTTGCTCTGTTTTCTTTTGTCCTGATAATTTTGCCAGAAAGTGGAAAATTAGAAAAGAAACCCAAATAGTCACTTTCTACGCAGACTAAAAAATAGGTGCTTAGCCTGTCCAAAGAGAGAAAGAAAGGAAGGCATCAGGAAGGGCTGGGGTAGCCACTGAAGCCGCGTAGGTTTCGTTGAGTGGCCTGTGACCGCTCTTACGCATTGGCTGAAGATGCTGTATCCTGCAGTGGGGACCTGGAGAGAGACGTAGGATGGTGTCGAGGGTAGGATGATGCTGGGGGTTGAGAGGGGCTGCAAAACCCAGGTTCCAGATTGCAGGACTTGTCAGCATTCACAGGTGTCTGCCCTGCTTGCCAGTACAGCAGCAGGACGCTTCTTCCTCCTGACTGTACTCTGTAGTGCTCTGCTTCCCGTGATGACTCTGTCTACCCTCTACCACCAGGCAGGAGGAAGCTTGTGTCTCATGTCAAGGCAGTTCTTTGTGCAGTTAGCCAATGAGAGTGCTGCGCTAAATTAGCTCAGCAGCTTGTCTCTGGTCAGCTGTGGTCTGAAAATGGCATCCAAGTGTCTATAGACTCTTGACATTTACCTCAAGGGCATGGTGTATATCCCCAGTGTTATTCATGTATTGCAATCGTTTTAAAACTTGTTTACATTTCGTATCATGATTTCTTTACTCTTTTATAATTAGGTAAGGAAGAATTTACCTTCTTTGCCCCTACCATCTTCAATAGTGCAAAGGAAATGAGTCTTAATTTTCATTTAAGAAGTTGGAAAATTGACACAGAGGGAATACATAACAGAAAAAGCAAGAAAAAGTGACTGAGTACAAGTTAGCAAAATAAATGGTTTTCTGAACGCTTTCAGGAATACTGTTATAAAGAACACTGTTTATGCAGTGCAGCCTAGTGGCATACATGACCTTGGTTCATTGATTCCTTTAGTTGTGATGATCCAGAAGTGGAGGATTATGGGAACAAGTGGAGCATGAGTGCCATGCTCAGGTACCTGAAACAAGAAGGCAGAGATACAACTGGTAAGTTCCAGCCCTGTTCCTGCTTTACCATCGTCTCTTGCCAGGAGCCATTCTTACAACACTGATGGTGTTGTTGAGACCCCAGTGGATGATTTGCTGTTAGTGTCACTTTTTCCTGGGTTAGTGTCACTTACAAAATGGGGAAGAAGCTTTCCATGACTCTCCACATTTCTTTTCTGGTTCTAGTTTGGGAGGTATAACTTTTTGGTCTTCGGTAAATTTATTCCTCTCAAATATTGAAATGCTAACTAAATGACAACTGATTTTTATGTAAGTCGCATGTCCTTATATGGACCCTGAGTTCAAATTTTTCTAAGTCACTCTCTTTCATCCCTGTTGCAGAGCTGGAGAAGGGGCAGAGTAGAGTTCAAGTACAGAGCATAGAGATAGAATGGGCCGAACCCAGAGCAAAGTGGGAAGCAGGGTTTCAGTTGAGGGTGGCAGGGGTGATGGCGAGGAGTGAGGAAGGACGGCGACTCCCTTCCCTTCCTTCCTTTTTATCATAGAAGACCACCTGAGCTTGGATTTTTGCTTGTATTCTCAGCTGAACCAACCTATTTAGAGCTGTGTCTGCCTCTATAGCACCTATCCAAGGACCACAATATAGAGGCTTTCTGAATAAGGCCACATGCTTTTATAATTGTGTCGTGACCTGGTCCTCATGTGTGCATTTTAGTATTTCTGTCTCCTTCATTTTGAAATTCTGTTTTGCAGCATTGATGGCCCACGTGGAAGACCTCATCATTAAGACTATAATATCTGCTGAGCTTGCTATCGCTACTGCTTGTAAAACCTTTGTTCCTCATCGCAGCAGTTGCTTTGGTAAGGAGCGTGGGATGTGTTGTGAGGAGGATGCTGCAGAGGTGGGATGGGACTCTAGGATAGTAACAAGCAAGAATGAGTGGTCCACGATGGACTTTGGCTTCCTTCTCACCTGGGATAGCACATGAGGAGCCCACTGAGAGGCGAATGGTGAACCTTAGCCAGAAGTCCCATGAGGAGTAACTAGCTTTTGGTGTGGGAAGCAGGATTGGAACTCAGCATGGGTCTCTCTCAGTACAGCCAGCAAAAGTCTGCAACAGACTGTACAGGAATCCAGCTCTAACAAATATATTCCAGAGCTCCTTGGCAGCCAGAGTGGGAACTGTTCCAAGAAGCCCTGGCTGGTACCAGTGTATGCTTTCTCCAAATTTCTGATAATTCTTTTTTTATTTTACCCTTCTTTTTAGTGAGTTCTTTTCCTTCTTCCTTTTTCTCCTTCTCTTTCTCTTCCTTTCCCCTTACTTCGTCTCTTTCTATTCTTTTCTTCTCCTTCTACTTCACCCACAACCTTTTGATTGCACCTAGGAGGAATAATAAGCAGGTCTTAAATACTGGGTCAGAAAAGCCGTGACATTGAGATGTGGGTGTACATTTTTTTTTTTTTGTGCTCGCAGGAACTTGTTAGTAATCGCCGATATGAATGTCTATAAAGTCACATAGGGTTTTAACATGGGTTGTGCTGGTTAGTAAAATGTGCTCTTGGTTCACTGATAGATTGATTGAAGCGTAGTGTGGCACAGTACAGCCAGTAAGTATGCAAGAGGCATGGCTTGCTTGGGAGGTAAGGAACTTGGACTTTAAGGCCAGGCAGCCTTAAGGTCAAACCCATCCATATTCCTTGCTAGCTGCTTTGGTGATTTTCCAGCAAGTTAGTCTGTTTTCTCATCTATAAAGTAGTGGTTGCAGTGGTGCCTATTTCTTAAGAGCGCCATGAAGATGAGACGAGATGGTGCATGCAAAGTGCTTGGTGCAATGTCTGGTCCTGAAGCTGTGCTCAATAAAAATTATTTTCTTATTTATAATTAGTCATTATAACTCTTGATCTCTTTAACGGCTTATCATAATAACAATCTGTGCTTAAGAAACACTAAATTAAGGGAACTGTTGAGACTCTACATGGAAGATGTAGATAAACTGGGACCTAAAGTTGCACAGGAAAAAAGGAGGTTATATTATCAGAGGTAATTAAAATGGATATCTGTGTCTTCAGAGGTCCTTAAGTGTCTCCCTAAGCTTAAATAATATAACTGAAATGTGACCTTCAAGGCCTCTAAAGATCGATCTGAGTCTAGATGACTTTTATAGAACTCCTGTTTGCCCTCTCGGCCTCCAAGCTTGCCATGCTGCGTGCCGCAGACAGCGCCTGATTTCGGTGGCTCGGGTGGAGACCCGCCTGTCGCACACCTGCCTCTTTTCTCAGACTCAGCTCCTCGTGGCCTCCTCCGGGAAGCCTTGCCTCACACCGCACCTTGTTGTGTCTCCTCCTGGCTGTGCCAGCTTGTTGCATTCTAGTTCCCGTGGTTGCATGATGCTTGTTCATAACCATGCTTGCTGGTAGTCTCTGGGTTTGTCTTCTTAAGTTTCTGTGTCCCCTTTCCACCTCACTTCGTTTCTTATACCATTTCCTGGACTCCCGAGGACCTTTTCAAACCTTTTGCCCAAACTATTTTTTCTTGTATTAGTTTACCTCATATGTCTCTGATATTCTTCAAGACGAAGCCAGGTATCCCTTCTTTGGTGATCTCCTTTCTAACTCTGCTCAAGGTTAGATTTCTCCCCACCTAGACCCCATTCTCTGCTCCTAACTCTGCACAAGTCCCTGCTTGTCATCTGGCAGCCTACCAGAGTAGAAGCTCCTGGAGGACAGTGACAGGTCCTCCATTGACTTTACCCCCCAGCACCAAGCAGCATCCTTTACTCTTAGAGAGTGTTTGGAAGTGTTTGCCAAATGTATGACTGATGCTAGTTCTAATTGCCATTTGATGAGCTGGTAGGAGGCTTCCAAGTGGACCTGGTTCGGTAAGGGCCTAGAACTCTCACAATTATTGCAGTGTGTTAGAGCGGGGGGGGGGGGTTCAAAAACAGAACTCTAAAACCTCATTAAATTAAAATAATGTTTCTTTTCTACATCTACTTGGTTCTTACATGAAAGTAAACTTTTCCATGAGGTATGGTAGCACACTTCTCTAATTCTAGCACTGAGGCTGAGGCAGGAAGATTGCCACCAAGTTTGAGACCAGTCTGAGCTACACAGTGAATTCAAGGCCAGCGTAATTTACATAACAAGACCCTGTCTCCAGAAAATGAAACAAAACAAACAAATAAATTTCTCAGAGCCCTTGTTGTGAGAATCTTTGTTCTAGGGAGTTAATCATGAAAGGTTCTCTAAATGTTTCCATTTCTACCTTGTTTTATCACCTGATTGCCTCCTGAAAGCTTAAGAATTTCTCAAACTTGATGGCAGTGGAACACCCCGTAGTCCGTGGACCAGCACGGGTCTCCCTCTCCTTCCTTGCTTGTGTACAGTTTCAGTCAGCCAAGTGCATCTGGAGTTTTTTAAGCTGTGACTGTCTTCTTGGGTTTTGTGGTTCTAATTCCACTTCCTGTCAGCCCTGGGATTTTGTGTGCTTCGTTAGCCTCCGCTGGGCAGATGTGATTCGGTATACGTGAGTCTATTTGTGTGACTCTCTTTGTCTCCTCTAACTCTTCGCCTCCCTTGAGGTTTAAGTTACAAGGAGCAAGCTTTTTTTTCTTTCCCCATTTGTGTTAGAGTAAACAGGAATTGAGAGTTTCCCAGAAGACTTTGGTTTAAACAGAGCACTGGTGATTTTAGGGGAAGCAAGTGGTTCAGGAATGGGGCTCCCAATATTCTTCTGGTCATTGTTGCTGACCTTCCACCTTACGAGTCTCTGCCAGGGTCGTTCCATCGCCATCTGAGGACTTCTGTGGTTTCTTTTCCTGCCCTACCACCTGTAATGTCCAACTCAGTTGTCAGGACCCTTCAGTTATTTCATTCACACCTTTATTTACACATTGAACTTTTTTTTCAGTTTCTGCCAAATGCCTGGCATAGGTTAGTCTCTGAGCTTTGCATTGCCATCAGCAGTTTGTTCCTCTCAAACCAGATTTTACATGGAATAATGCATATATATATGTGCATGTATGTGTGTGCGCGCATGTGTATGTCTGCATTGTATCATCAGTTTTATGTATAGGCCTGGATGCCTTCACAAACTGTCTGAAACCTAGTTGTTTAGTGCTTTTTCACAGGAGTGTGCATCTGGGAGGACCTTAGCAAATAAGTCGTCCAGATGAAAAATGGAGACCTTGAGAAATTAATCCCTCTCTCAGGTTCTTTAGCCTTGTGAGTGCAAGAGGTCAGATGAAAGAGGCCTGAAAAGTGGAATTTAAGAAGCTTAGTTCTAGCAGTCGTAGCATCCTGATCACCGAGCTTTAGTTGTATCATTTTTGATGCCTCCTCCGGTAAAACAGATTTTTGACAGTATAATTATTACTGCCTCCCAAGATTGTGAAAGTGGGATGCCATGTGTAAGAATATGCTTCAGCAGCAACTCTTAAATAAGCGGAGGAAATTGGCACTGGAGATGACTGTGAGAACAGCTTTTTGACCAGTTAAAGAAAAACAGCCAAAAACCACAGGATGTTAGCTGTCCTCTAAAGATGTTGCTGCCAACAGCGGTTTTATCTTTTGTGTGTGATGATGACTGAGGTGGTGATGAGCTATGATCTGGTCCTCTGTAGCATGGGATCATGTGAACCAGCTGTGGGACCACTTATGGCACTAATGAATTCGGCCTTGTTTTGCTGAGATTGGTGACACGTTTGCTCAGACTAGCCGTGTTGGGACATCCCTCTGTTTCTGTTGCTTCTGTTCCTGATGGTTTCGCAGGGTACCCTGACATTCTGAGGGAAGGGGTGTCCATAAAGTCTGTAGAATGAGAGGAGGTGAGAAGCACACCAGTGCAGAAGTAAGGAAAGGCCAAGTGTTCACTTCGGAAGATAGTATCCTGTCCTGGCTCATCCTTTGCTCCTGCTTAGGCTGAAAAGAAAGTTCACTGTAGCAGAGATTTCTGTGGGAAGTATCTGCTGTTTGTCAAACCAACATTGTTTTTTCCCTTCAGTCTTCAGCAATATTTTTGGTATTTAATACCAGTCATATAGCATAAAATCTTTTTTGTATGGACAAGGAGAAAGGATTTAGAGAGGTGAAGTAAGTTGTCCTAGGTCATGAGGCCAGTAAATAGCAATGCCAAGTTTAGGAGCCAGGCCTCTCCGATTCTTTCTCCACCCACATAAAGCCAAGTTGAGTCCGGCCGCTTTTGGCATGCCTCATATCCTGGATTCTCTCTGCTGTCCTGTAACTAGATCTCAGAGAAAACTGTTTCATCTTTTGTAGCAGATCAGGCCTGAAAAAAGGCACTCTTTCAGCCCTAGTCAACAGTACCTAGTTCTAGATACTCCTTTCAAGTCTTCCTTTATACCTGATAGCCAGATGCCATATTGATTTACTGGGCTAGTTAATGATTGACTTGGGGCTTTTTCTTTTATTTAGTACATTTTCCTGTGGGATCTTGGTCTAATTTTTTCCAAAATTTCTCCTTCTGGACCCCATTATAAAGACTTTTCTCTTAGCTTTTAAACTCAAATCCAAAGCCAAGGTGAAAAAAATTTCCAAAAGGATTTCAATGACAGTGAGAACCAGCTAATATCAGCACTTTCCATTGCCTTGGGGACTGTCATTTCATTTGCGGTTTTATTTCTGTGAAAGGTTAGTGAATTATTTCCAAAATTAGTGGTGTGACATACTTAATAATCTTTTAGGCCCTGATTAAACTGTTTCTTTAAACAATCTTTTTTGCTCCTTTCCTAAGCCATCTTTTATCAGGTTTTTCCTTAATAACCTTCATTGTGTAAAATTCTTTTTTTCTGTGTTTGATACTAGGAATTGAATCCAGGACCCTGTGTGTCCTAAGAAAGTACTCTAACACTGAAGTACATTTCTCGTCCTTCTATAATTCTTAATGAGAAGGTTTTTTTCTTTCTTTCTTTTTTTTATGGATTGTTGACTTTATTATGAATATGTTAAGTCATGTGAGTCAGGGCTACTTTGGAGGGAAGTTCCTATGACTTATCTTTAAATTCTTTGCAGGTTACTTTGTCTTTTTTTGAAAATTGTGTGTTGCTTTTTGCTAACCTGTTTTATCTAATGTTTCCTCTTTGTTTTCCATGTGTTAGTTGTGGAGAAGGCTACTTGGTGTATAATGACAGATGACACATGGTCCTTGCCTTTAAAGGATGGGTAGGAGAGGGATAAAATGATAAACGGCAGCACAAACATAGTGACTCTCATACTCTGGGAAGACAAGAGTTACCAGATTCTCCCGGGGCAGCCAGGAAAAGGCAATTCTGAAAAGAACATGTGATATGCAAAGTAAATATCATGACCAGATGTGACGTTTTTGAAATGGTAAGCAGTGTGACTAATTGTAGCTGGCATGAAGTGGGGGTACAGAAGATAAGGTTATGTAGGTGGATTAGGGCCAGATTATAAAGGGCTAGTCAGTTTGAATTTATCTCATAGAAACATTCACTAAAGGTTTCTGAGTAGGAGCACAATATGATTATTATTTATTTCTTTACCTTTTATCGTAGTTTGACCCAAAACTCTAGATGACTTAGTTACAACAAAGAAAATACTATATGATGTTATTAGCAATGGTCAATTTAAAATCTTCCAGGAACAAATTTAGTTTCCGTTGCTAAACCAGTTCGCTGCCTGTCACTTTGTAACTGTTAGTTTTTTGTGTTTTTGTTTTGTTTTTGTAGAAAGGTCATTCTGGAGTCGGGAGAGATGGCGCTAGGAAAATGGCATAGGCAAAACCATATGCACATTCCTATCCCTGTACACAAATGTTCATAGCAGCTTTGTTCATAGTGGCTAAAACTTGGAAGCAATGCAAATATTCAGCAGTTGCTGATCACATAAATTATAGTTGTGTCCCTATTGTGGAATATTACTCAGCCATAGAAAGGAATGAACTACATTATTTATATATGAAACAACATAGATAAGTCTGAAAAGCACAGCACCGAGCGAAGGAACCCACACTAAAAGTCACAAACTAAATTAATTCCATTTCTTTGACTTTCTGGGAAAGGTGGAAAACAAAACTCAGTGATTGCCAGGTAATGAGGGAGGTTGGATTTGACTCAAAAGGGAAAGACATTTGTTTCAGAAAAATTTTTGTGTTCTGTGGATGTTAGTTCTGATCAAACAGTAATGAAGCTAGTGTGTTTTTTGGTTTTTTTTGTTTTTTTTTTCGAGAAGAAATGTAAGTGATTTATTTAATGGCACAGGGTCAGGTGTTTGGGGGTGAATGGGACTTCTGAAATTATTGCCCACTGTGATTTTCTTTGTAGAGAGGATTTCATTAGTAATAATATAAAGGACTCCAAAGTTAGTCTCTCATCCCTGAATTTGTTAAATAAAATAAGGCTTGCTTTGCCCTTTGCCATTGTTGGGAAAGTAGATGAAAATCATTAAAGATTTCAGAAGCCGTGGAAACTTGACCTTTGGCTCCCTTTCTTCTTAAATAACATAAGTGGCGCAGGTGGGTTGTCACAGTCCTGCTCTGCTACCACTGGCTTCCTCTTTTCTGATATTCTATCTGTAGACCACATGTTTTATTTTCTGTCTTCAAAGGAAAATTGAAACCGTCAGAGGGGAAAAATAATAAATATATTTTACATGTAGGTATCTTCTTGACATGAGTTGCAAAAACAAGATCTTAGGTGTAAAGGAAGGGGACAGAAGAATCTGTCTTGGTTACCCAACACCCAGAATGAAGGAAGAAAGGGTTTATTTAGTTGACAGTTTGTGGAGATTTCAGTCCATAATCAGCTGGCTCCAAGGCAGGGTGGTACATGGCAGCAGGCAACAGTTCAAGGTGACAAAGACAGCAAAAGCAGAAAGAGCGGAAAGGGAAGAGCCAGCAAATACTCTTTCTGTGCCTTATATTGCATGTCACTACACACCCAAGGGTGGATATAGCAGTCACACTCGTAATGAATCAGTCACAAACTCTAGATTCACCTACATCCAAAAAGCACCCAGACACACACCTTAACAGGACCCTGTAAAGGTGCCTTCAGTGGGTCCCTCTACTTTCAGAATATAGTGAATGTGGTAGTGGAAGGCAGTCCTGAGCAAGCCCAAAGAGGACTGACATTAATATGCCTCACTGTTTTGCTCAGCTCTTTTTATATGTAAGTACAGCATGCCAGTTAACTTTTTAAAAGTCAGGTTGCTGTCTAAGAACTCAGGAACATCAGTGGAGTAGATGAATAACACTGGAAGTTTGGAGTTTTGTTTTAAAGTTATTCCTAGAACATGATTACTTTCTTTTTAAACCTAAAAGGTTTTCACTTCCACTTTTACTTTCTGCTTATACTCTGCAAATTTCTAAGCCTCTGATAGGACTTAATTAGATAGAAACTTCCAGATCTTTATGCTGTCATGATGTGGAATATGATCTTAATGTGTTGTGTTGTGTTTCCAGAATTATATGGCTTTGATGTGCTCATAGATTCTACTCTAAAGCCCTGGTTGTTGGAGGTGAATCTCTCTCCTTCCTTGGCCTGGTAAGTCAGTTCTGTCAACATGAAAAGGACAAACCTGCAAGTGACACTGAAATACCTTCTTTTAGGGGCAGGAGCATTTCTTATGACACTGGAACATACAAGTTGTTACAGATGACTTGGATTTTTTTATCTCGATGATTTATGGTGTGTTTTCAAAGTTTGTATGTCAACCAAGGTCCCTGTCTTCTTAGTCATTTGCAATGTGTATTTCAAGCCTGTTGATCAGGCTTCTAAAGAGATGATTCTTGCATTCATTTTTATTCCCACTTTTTTTTTTTTTTTTTTTTTTTTTGTCTTTTTCGTTTTTACTGGTACCGGAGATTGAACTCAAGACTGCCTGCTTGCAAGGCAGGCACTTGTGCCACTCAGCTAAATCCCCAGCCCCTTCCCACTATTTCTTTAATATAACTTTGTAGGTTTTCTATTAAGGCTAAAGACATAAATAAGGTATTATGCCCTTCCCCACCTTCTCGTGAGTTTTTTTTTCCGAAAATTTTATATGTATTTAAAAATCCTTATGGACTTTACTTTTTTTTTTTTTTTTAAATCAGTACCAGGGATCAAACTCATGACTGCATGCTTGCAAGGCAGGCGCTTATGACACTGAGTTAAATCCCCAGCCCAGTCCTTATGGACTTTAAAGGGATGAAGTTGGATGGAGTGCACTGTGGCTAATGCCTGATCCTTTTGTCCTGGTGTCCATCTAAGATTAAAATCTAAAAACTTCAAGCAATCTGCAAAAAACTTTGGAAAAGCAGTCTGGTTTTTAGAAGAATGAAATAGTATTTTTCAATATGAGAGATGATTCTGTTTACAGCCACAGTTACAGCCAGAATTTCTGTTTGCTGTATACTCTCTAAACAGAGAACCCTAGAGATCCATGCCACAGACCACCCAGCTGCTGAGTTTTTAACGATAAGAGATGTTGGCAGAACGACAGGTAATCAAATAAAGACAGATTGACTACTTTGTAGAGTGGGAGTTTGGCTTCATTTCAGTAGTAAGGTGTAAAGCTGGATATCGCAAATGCCTTCAATGTTACACCATACTTTCGTCAGGTCAGCCTTTTGCAGATGCTCAGTAAAGTATATTCAGCAGTGTCAGAGATCCCCAGGGTGCATCACATCCAGCAGCCAGGATAGTCTGGTTCAAGAGAAAGACCACACTGAAGCCAGCACAGAGGCTGCCTGCTTTCATTCTGTGCTGTTTCTGTCTCCTTGTGAGATCGTGCTGCGTCGCCTGAAATTTTAGTGTGGCTTGCTTGTATCTTTTTACCGTTTGTAAGCCTAAGATGACTGACTTAGAACACAAAGTGAAGACTTAATCAGCAGTGGTTTTTGTTTGTTTGATTTTGTTTTTGCGATGCTGTTAGATTGAATCCAGGGCCCCCAGCATGCTAGGCAAATGCTCTGCCACTAAACTACACACCCAGCCCAGAAGACTTGAAGGACAAAGATGGCCAAAGTTTCTTGTCTTTGGTGTGAAAATGACTCAGCAGTTACATCAGTAAAACATAGTTTGGATGACAGGCACACTCACAAGAAGCACATACTGAAAGTCTGAACCTCTAAAATCTGTAGTGATAATGAAGCCCTAGTCTTGATTTTTGCCAACTTTAAATTGCACAAGACCTTGTGGAATAAAAATATTCTCTTTCCCCTAGGGAATCAGTGTGTTCATACTGGGCCTGCCTTATGGAGGCCTGCCTTATGTGTTTAAAACCAGGCTTTTACTTCATGTATTTTTGCCCAGGTTTCTTTTTCTTTTTTTATGGATTTGATGTGCTTTATGTGTTGCTTTGTTGTGGACATTTGGAAAGCTTGCTACATTGGGGCCCATTAGGAGGCAGTTACTCTGTTAACCTACAGAATTGTCAAGCGTTCTTTTCTTTTTCTGTTCTGTCAGTGATGCGCCTCTGGATCTAAAGATTAAAGCCAGTATGATTTCAGATATGTTCACTGTTGTAGGTGAGTAGTGGTGTTTTTTGAACTGAACTCATATAAAACAAACCAGAGCGTCTGTCCATTTTGTCAGGCTCCATAGGTATTGCCAACTGGCAGTTCCAAAGTCACGCTGAATGTTTTGTACAAAAAATTACATTTTCAGGGAAGTGTTTATATGTTCCTACTTCCCCTGGCTCCATTCTGTCCTGAGGTTGAACCACAACTAAGGCTGAGACCTGGGGCACAGGAATTATGAGCCGAGGCAGAGAATTAAGCAAAGATCTGCAGAGAGTATATTTTTCTCTGAGCTGGGAAAGTGAAACCCACTACAGAAGCCTTGTTACAGAGGAGACTGGCTGTATTTCTGCTAGACAGTCTCTACTGGTCTCAACATGATCCCTTCTGTAGTAGTTATATCCAGAGCTGCCCAAGGAAGAAATCCCATTTTAAGTAGATAAGCCAAAACTTTGAAATGGAGATGGGCAGTCAGGTGGATATGAAGTAGATTTATTGTTGGCTTTTAACATTCTCTCAGAAGACATTATAAAATATATTTGAGATGAACTAGTACTTGATGCACCAGTAAATGCTATAAAACTTAGCTACTTTCTTCTTCTTGGATGGAAATCCACTTCTTTTTAGGAAGTAAGTGAAATGAACTGAAGTCATTTTTTTAAGCCATAGGAAATTTACAAAACCCATTTTCAAAGTTTCCAATAGACCACCTTCAGCAGTTCCAGAAATAGATTGTGTAACAGCATAAGACTGTTTACTTGTTGGATTCTCCCAGGAAAAATTTTATTTTTCAGTCATCATCCAGGAAGCTACTTTAAAAGTAACATGTTTTTATTAATAACTAATACTTTTCAATTGATTACTTGTACATTTATTTGGGATTTATAAAAATTTACATATCTTTCTCAGTTAAAATCACATTTCAGCTACTTATCTACCAGTGTAATCATCTTGAGAATGAATCTCTGTAATATTTATGATCATGAAACCAAATTCGTACATGTAAAGATGCAGCCAGACTTGCTTATGTCTTACAAAATGACAGGTTTTAATGTTGTTCATTTCCCATTCAGGATTCGTGTGCCAAGATTCTGCCCAGCGAGCATCAACACGGCCAATTTATCCCACCTTTGAGTCTTCCAGGCGAAACCCTTTCCAGAAACCTCAGGTAAGCAGATCCAGCAGCAGGGAGCCCAGAGCAGGCCTGCTGGGAAGCGGTAGTGGGTATAAATGAAGAAGCTGAGTGGTGCGGAGGCGGGCACTCAGGGCCTGAGAATCCAGGGATCCGTGCGCACAGAAGTACTTCATGGTTACTTGTGGCTCACAGCTCATGTTCTCAGTGGTTCTCAGCAAGCTTACTTCTCCTTTGGTTTGTTTTTTTCTTACTGTCTTTTTTTTGCTACTCTTCCTTTTTCTTTTCTCTGCCTTTTGAAAACTCACATTTCCCTTCCTTAGTTAACATTCTCATAAACAAAGCTCAGAGAGGGAGGCATGACTGCCTTCTTTCTGATCTCCAGATGAATTTCATAAAGATGCTCCATTGAAGTAGTATCTTCTCTACATGTGATTCTCCTCAGAAAGATCTTAATGATCTTGAGGCATGATTGAGGCTAAATAATATAAATGCTTAAGGAAATTTGTGCGTATTAGAACCACCCTGTGGTCCCGCACCACTCTGGTCTCTCTGCCCTCTGCACGGAAAGTCAGCTAAGGCTTCTATCTGTCCATCCCATGCTGCTTCCTCCCTGTTTATTTTGGGACTGCTAGTTTGCACTTCTGTTTCTTTGCCTTTAATATATCTTATTTAAAAGATCTGACTTCGTCCTTTCCACCTGTCTGGTTTAATTACTTCGCCTACTCAGAGGTTCTGGAGATCTTTCCTTATTAAATCTCTCCTGCTCTGTAATGACCTTTACTTTTCATTTCCACATTACGTACTTGTTTCATATTAGCTTATTCTGTATTCATTGATTGTTGCTTTTTAGATTATCTAGTGCATCTACACTAGACTGCAAACTCTTTGAAGGCAGAAATGGCTTCTTCCTCTCCCTTCCCTCTTGTTCCTTTTTTCCTTCTCTCCTTTTGTCCCTCTTCTACTTCCTCATCAGCCCTTTACTCTTCTTCCCTTTTCTTCCATTCCACTTCTTCCTCTTATTTGCTGGTCTCATTTAGAGTACTGCTATTCCTATTTGCCAAACTCTTACGCTGTTTTTATTAAAACAGAGTTTTCAGACTCAGAGAACCTGGGGGTGGGTCTGATAAAGCAGAGTAAACTCAGAGGGAGATGACAGAGGTCAGCGGAAAAGAGCGAGCCTCATGCAAAAGGGGCAGCTCAGGCTGATCACTGCATAGGTGTGGGCCAAGGATGCTGAGAAATCAGAAATCTTACTTTGAAATACTGGCAACCAATTCATGAAAAAAAAAAAAGCGACAACAACTTTGCAGGCCAACTGTAACATGTCTTTCAGCTACATTTAGTTTGTGAGCTGCCTATCTGTGATCCCTACTCTGGAATGCTTCCCTCATTTGTGTTGTGATGTGGAACAGGGTGTACAGTATTATAAGAGGGATTGTCTTGGATTAGAAATAAAACCATGCAACAGAATAGTGCTTGATCCGCACATCACCACCGATCAAAGGGCTTCTTTTAATTTTTAAAAAGAAAAAGTAGAGAATTAACCTAAGTGTACTAGAAAAGTTTAATTTATGTGATCACCTTTCTTTGCAGATTGTTCCTGCAGCATCATGGCAAAAACTGCAAAATTAGACATAGAGGATTGTGAATGTTTCTGTGCAGTTCTGACATTGTTTCTGCCAGGTTTCACTCTAGGGACAGCTGTAGATCATTTTTAGATTAATGGATCCTTTTTTGGCTTGCTTGTCATTGTGCTTAGTGCTGAAGGTTTGAAGCACAAACTGTGTAAGAAGGAGTAATGTGAAAAAGAACTGCTCTCAACTTCCAATACATGAAGTATTGGTGTGTACTTGGAGATGATTTTTTTTCCCTTTTCATATCATGCTTGTAGGAAATGGAAAATGTAGACGTAATAAGCCTTTATTCCACTTTTTCTATCCTTTATAGTGTCTTAGATCTGCACTTTCAGTTATTAAACACCAAGCAGATATATTCTGGATCATTTGGAGATTTTATTTAGATCTTTTCTTTAATTTAAGAATTAAATTTTTTAATTTAGCTTTAGCCTTTCACAGTACATATTTTATGTACCTGCTTTTCATACAATTTAGTAACATAGAATAAGTGAAAAGAATTACATAGAAGTGTTTTTGGTTACTGAGTGTGAAAGTGTAGGATGCTGAAACTTAGGAGTCTTCTTTTTCTGACAGTGATTATGTTGTGATGGAGGCTGGATTTAAATGATAAAGAGGGCCTACATGCCTATTTATCGCCTTGACCAAACTCTTCTAGGAAGCAAATACTACAGTTCACATTCTATTGTTGGCAACTTAATATTAAAAATTTTTTATATTGGATTTTGGGTTGTATTTGGGTGTCTTAACAGATGACATTTCATATAAATATATATACATATACACACATCTAGCGATTTCAGGTTGAATCTTAAAAACCTTCCATAGTTAGTGTCTCAGATGCTGGCTTTAAAAATCTTCGTCTTTAGGGCATAGTGGTGCACATTTGTAATCCCAGTACTTGGGAGGCTAAGGCAGGAGGATTGCCACAAATTTGAGGCCAGTTTGGGCTGTATAGTGAGCTCAGGGCCAGCTTATATTACATAGTGAGACCCTGTCTCAGAAAACAAAACAACAACAAAAAATTTTGTCTGAAAAAAGATGTTTCTGTCTGAATGATCACCATTTGCTCCCTTCCTGTTCTTTTCTCTTAAGGAGTATTTGAGATTGTCACTTCCTTCCATGCAGATCTTTTTTGTTTTTAAAAATCTTTTTGAAGCAATAGGTTAACAGTGAGGCTTTTTTGCTAGATATTTTTACACATGTGTCACTGCAACTATTAGTTATTTAGCACTAGTATATTTGTTTTGGCATTTGTACTCTGATGTAACTTCTGGTAAGTTTGGAAGCTTGAATTGTAACTTTTTAAATTAGTATTCCTGATACAATGATTTATATGAGTTTACATGAATCTAAGAAATGATAAAAAAAGACTTCCAGGATGCCTTATCTTATATTTGGTAACTGGTTAATGTGGTTCTGCAATAGATATTTTGCTTATCAAGATAGTAGAATTCAAACCAATATGTAGTGTTATATATTTAGTAAGTACCTAAATGTGTCAGCTACTCTCCATTGCAAAACAAAACAAAACCCAAAAATCAGGGCTTTGACTTCAGAGAGTTTACATTCTAAATATTTCGTGAAGTAATCTATTGAAGGAGAACATTAATAATACTATTTGATAGCTTTCTGAATTTGATATCAAAGTGTTTCTGATATATAATTCTAATCTTAATTTCCTATTTTTGTTTTTGTTTTTGCGACAGGGTCTCGGTATGTTGTTCGGGCTGGCCTTGAACTCACTATGTAGCCATGGCTGGCCTCAAACTGGCAGGCATCTTGCTGCCTCAGCCTCCTAAGTGCTAGGATTACAGGTGTGAGCCACTAGCTCAACTTTCTCTGTATTTTAGTACCATTGCATCGAGCTGCATTGCTTGGATTGCAGGAAATGGCAGTAGCCATTCGCAGAGAGCAAGATGTCTCTTTAGTCATTATGTATCTGAATACCGCCTGCATGATGCAAAGCCTATCTTCACACCTGTTAAATTCTTTAAATCTTATTGTTCTTTGTAGTTTTCTACTTTGTCTCTTTCTGTTAACAAAGCACTCCCCTCCACAGCAGTTTCATCAGAATTAAGGAATAAGAAAAAAAAAGCTTCTGCTCTGACTGTTTAGACCATGTCAGGATTTCTTTCTCTGTGTCTGGGTTTTTTTTTGGTTGCTTTTAGGGTTTTCCTTTTGAATCCGTTATCTCTACATTTTTCTCTTCCCTTGGATGTCTGTATTTTCCACCGCCTACAAATTGTATTGTGTGTTATAGAAAGAACACGGATTTTAGAATCAGATAGGTTTGGATTCAGATTTGCGCTCTGCCAGGACTTAGCTGATCCACCCCAGCCAGGTCCCCTTTCCTCCCTGAGCGTTGGTTCCCACATCTGCTAGGTGGGGATGATCACAATTGCACTGATTTGTGGGGAGAAGGAAAGAATAAAACGTGCATAAACTACGTAGAGCATTTCTGTATACTTGGTTTACACTCAGAAAGTTTTACCCTTCATACTTTTGAGTCCTGTGGTTCTCTCTCTTTATTCTTTTTTCACAGTCAGGATACTTTTTATTATTTTGCTGCTTTCTTTATGGTCAGTGAGGCTTCTAGGTTTGCATTGTTTTCCTACTAGACTATAAACTTACTATTTTTAAATTTTATTAGTATATATTTATAGTATATTCAATTTATAGACATGTTGGGGAATATTATATGGATATACTACAGGTTTCTTTTCTTTTCCTTTTTTCTCCCCATGATCAGTCTTCGGTGTGTTACTTTGATATTGATCCATCCATAGTCATGTTTTTCACATTTGCTGTCATCTGTTTTAGTTTTTCTTCCTTAATTAATGAAGATTCTAAATAATGCTTATTATTCACCCTGAAAATTAATCCACTACCATTTATATTATCTTGCAGTTACATCTTTTAGTTTTTGTCTATGTATTATGTTCGTTATATGATGGCATCAACCCCTGAATGGAAATAGAGCAAGCATTTTATGAAATTTTTTCAGATGTATCTGCTGTAGGCCCCCCTTTTTTGTGATTTGGTTCTAAAAGTCAAACTTAATACGTGTTTTAAAATAAATGAAGCAGTCTCCACATCACTGTTCTTTACATGCTCCTTAAACTCTAAATGTTTGTGGATCTTTTTGTTTTAGTATTTTTTTTTGTAATTTTGTGGTATCTCCTCAATTCTCATATTTTCTGACATACCTGCAAGTGGTTTTGATAAGTCTTTTTTGTTTTTAAAGCCAGTTCCCTTAATAACAAAATGTTTTTCTCCTATTAAAAAATGATAGAAGCTCAAGCAGTCAAAAAGATAGGTTTGAAAAAAATGCATTGTTGTGTTAGGACTCAGACCTGCTGACTGACATTTATTCCATTTTTAATCTCTTATTAAACATTTCCAGACATACCTTTTTTTATTGTAACACAGTCCTACTATATAATTGCTTCCTTTTTTCATCTTTCCAGTTTCAAAAGTTATCATTACTTTTTGAGGGATGGGGAGGTATCTCTCTACATAGTTCAGGCTGGCCTTGAACTCACCATGTAGCCTAGGCTGGCATCGAATTGGCAGTGATTATCCTGCCTCAGCCTCCCGAGTGCTGGACTTACATCATTACATTTAAACCTTCTTTTTAGTAACCATTTTTGGCTTGTATCTACCTAGATATATTGATAATGGTCCTTTATTTTTTTTCATTTTGTAGCATTAATTCATTTTGCTTTTTTTTTTTTTTTTTTTTTGGTACCAGGGATTGAACTCATGACCTCACGCTTGCCAAGCAGACATTTATGCCGCTGAGCTAAATCCCCAGGCCTGAACTCACAATCTTATGCTTACTAGGCAAGTGCTTGAGCCCCTGAACTAAGTCCCCGGCCCTTCATTTTGCTTTTTAAACTTGATTTTACCTTTTACTTTTTAGATGACAAAGACACAGGACTTATAAATTGAGCAATTTCTAGTACCTTTGCGTTTTATAGAGAATTCCTAACATAAAACGGCATTGAAGATTTTCATTTTTTATCTTTTTTCTCTGTCAAATGAATTTATTTTCTGCCCCTCGGGTACAGGATCGCTCACCTTTACTAGTATCTCCACTGTGTCATGGTCTTCTCATTACTGGTACTTTGCAGCTTTCTTTACACGGGGGATAATTTTTGTGGATCAACATGTTTCTTATTGGCTTGAGAGGAGACACAGGGTCCTTTGTCTTAAAAATTTCACATTCTCAGTTCTTCCTTAGAAATATCGGGTAGAGACTTAACATTTCTACTCTGGATAGTTTTCTGAATCCTAAGTTGTACTCATGATAATTTGGTATCTTTTGATGCGTTTTCCATGGCAACATTTTTACCTAGACAGTAATTTGGCCGCTTAGGATTTACATGGGCCCCTTCCAGTTTAAATCGCTGTGTTCCACAGCCAGTGGCAGTTAGTTCTCTTTAAGTTCAGAGGAGCCATTTCTCCTTTCTCTGCTGGAGTATGAAACCACTCAGAGTGGGCTGGGGATTTAGCTCAGCGGCATAAGCGCCTGCCTTGCAAGCAGGTAGTTGTGAGTTCGATCCCTAGTACCGATAAAAAGGAAAAAGACAAAAAAAAAAAAAAAAAAAAAAAAAATCCAAAACTGGAAGTACTCATTAGGGGTCGTTTAATGGCGAGTTGACCTGTGTTCTTATACAGGCAATCTTATATTCCCTTAAAACTATTTTAATAGGTAGTGATTATGTTGTGAAATATTTGTATTGACCTTTTAACAGATTTGAGGTTACCAACACTTTTAAACAGCATTCTTTCTGTTCTAAAATGTGTATTGGGGCCGTGGATATAGCTCAGTGCCTCAGCGCCTGCCTGGCAAGTGTGGGGTCCTAAATTCAATTCCCAGCATCCTTCCCCACCAAAATAAATAAATAAAATGCGTAAAGAAAAAACTTTATTGTATTGTTAAATGAATACTTGTCTGTCTTCTTACATAATTTGACTTGATCTTAAAAAGTACCCTTAAATAGCAGCAGGTAAGAAGGTTGCTTGACTTCAGATGATTCATTGCCAGTGGTTTTATGTAGCTTTGTGATCAGGCCCTGCTCTCTCATGTGAACTAGAGAAGTTGTTTTTTTTTGTTTTGTTTTTTTTTTTTTACAAACAAGTAATGTGTGATTGTGAGAAAAAAACCTCAAACTATCCACTTATTTTGGCATTTCAAAACTAAACTCCAAATATAATCATATATTAAAGGGTTTTTAAAAATGATTATATTACTTATGTTGGTTTTCTTCCTAAATCTTCAGACTTCCCTTGTATTTACCCTTTCGTTCCAACACTTGCTCTTTACTATATTCCCAGAGATTGAAGGGAATTAAAATGTCTCCAAAAATCTTTCTACAAGTTATAATTCTAAACGTGATTAATCTGTGTGTCAGCACATTCATTCATTTATTTGTTCAACAAATATTTATTGATCTACCTCATGCCAAGTACTGCTCTAGCTGTTGAATATACTACAGTAAGGAGCTGAATGATAAAAAGTACCTACTTTTCCCATGTTGCTTATATCTGTTATTTCCTAGGTTTTTAAATGCAGTTATCTCATCATGGGGTTGACTATCAGAACATTTAATTTTTTTAACTCCCATGCTAGCTTTGAAAAGGAGTATGTATTGGTGTTCCTTGTGTCCACAGGTGAAATCATTTGTGACTTGTGTACACAGTATGTTAGTCTATATAGACTGTCATAACAATATAGCATTGACTAGGTGGCTTAAAAAACAACTTTAATTTCCTACAGCTCTGGAGGCTGGAAATGTCCAAGATGACGCGTCCAGCCAGGTAGACCTCATCTTGCCTGGCGGGCTGCCATCTCACTGAGTGCTCACATCCAGGGAGCTGAGCATGTGGGAAAAGCATGAGCTCTGGTGCTAATCCTGTTAGACCTAGCCCCAACTCCTGACTACATGGAATCTTAATGTCCTCCCAGAGGCCATCACAGGGGGAATGACAGCTTTAAAATGCAAATTTAGGAGAGACAGCGTGTTCACAGTTGGTCTAAGCATAGAGAAAAAGGCAGTAGTAGCTTCTAACAGTGGAATAGTTGCTTCTCTCTGGTTGAAATTTCTTCTAGGAAGCTAGAGAAACAGTTTGTACCCACAGTTTTTCGATTATTTCTCTTTTTTTTTCTTTTAAATTTAAGTTTTTATTCGTGCATGTGTGCAGTGTTTTGCTTTGTTTTTGTTTTTGTTTTTGAGACAGCGTTCAGGCTGGGTTTGAACTCACTGTGTATCTCAGGCTGACCTTGAACCTGGCAGTGATCCTCCTGCCTCATGGCCCCTGAGTGCTGGATTACAGGTGAGCACCACCACGCTCAGCCTGCCGTGCGTAATGGTTCCATTCATCACGATGGAATGGTACATTTACATGGCACATGTTAATTCTTTTTACGTCCCCTTCTCCTTTTTCCTTCCTCATTTTTCTCTACTTGGTAGGTAGATCCTGATTTCATCAGTCATTCATCTGTTTCAGTAGTGGTACATATGCTGCTTCTGACTTTTTCACTGCCTTTCTGTTCTTTTCATAACATCAAAATCTCTTAAAGCTTTTGTCTCAGATTGTGTTCGGTATCATTTGGTGGCTGCAGTAGTCCAGCTCATCTGTGGGGACCATGATGATCCTGGCCCTGTGGCCCCCACTGGGACACCGAGGGCAGCTAGCCTTCTTTTAGCAATCCCAATGTGTCCCACGGTGTGGCCCTTGTCACAGCTTTCTTCTGTGCGACAGTAGTTGCCTTTAAATCACTCTTCTCCCGTCAAGTTCTAAAACAGCTGACAGCCCAGCTTTTTTCATCTTTGGCATAAAAGGTTTTTCTTGGTTTTGTGTCTTAGGTCCATCGTGTCTTCCCTAGTTACAGTAATAAGTGCGCATTTACTTTTCTGTGAAGTTATTTTCACATTTTTTCCCCATATCCTTCAAATAGTGCATGTTCTTTCAAACCAAGGTTAGGAGCAAATGCTAACATAGGGAAACATCTGGACATCATTTTTTCCCCCGTGTTTTTCTCTCTCACACATAGTGTTTTTCCCTGTGCTGTTTTCTCTTCTTGCCTTTAAATTTACTGGTTTCACCTGCTGCCCAGGGTTTCAAGCTAAGAGATTAATTATAGAAATCGGACTGTAGGCTTGCGCTTGCACTTGTTAGAAAAGATACTAATGCTGAGGGAGTGAATGCTTGTGGTTTTAATGTGCTCTTCTTCCACCCCCCAGCGATCCCGCCCGCTCTCGGCCAGTGATGCGGAGATGAAGAACCTGGTGGGCTCGGCCCGGGAGAAGATGTCGGGGAAGCTGGGCGGCTCAGTGCTCGGTCTGTCCATGGAGGAGGTAACGGTTACTGCTGCAGACCCTGCTAACAGGGCTCGGGAAAAGTGGGTAATATTCACGACCAACTCTTACACTGCGAAGAGATGTTCAGGAGCGGAGAAGGTTCTCAGAAAACAATCTTACATGGAACGAACTCTTCCTCCTCATGCTTTAGTCTCTTCCTGTCCTGTAGCCACATGGATTTCAGTTTTCTAAAGAGGTACTCATTGTCTCTTCCTCCATGTAGATCAAAGTTTTACGGAGGGTGAAGGAAGAGAATGATCGGAGAGGCGGATTTATTCGCATATTTCCTACATCGGAGACATGGGAAATTTATGGGTGAGGTGACTACCTTTTTTTTTTTCAGTCAATACTTAAGGTTCATGAAACACTCGGGTTGCTCCCATGAGGTGCCTTTCTGTTTTGTTTATATTACCCAACCCAAGAACTAGGCCATCAACATGTGACCCATACCTTCCTTTTTAAAAACAAGTTTAGTTTGGCTCATCTTTGCCACTCCTAACCCCTTTTAGTAACCTCTCTCTTTCCTAGCTCAGCCCCTCAACCCAGGGTTGGAATAGTCCCATATTATGTCCTTATTATTTCCTTGATTTGAACTTTTTTTTAATATCTATACCTAAGCAATACATTGTTTATTATTGATCATCACTGTGATCTCCTTATATGCACTAAAATGTATCCATTTGAAGTTACATTTTGTTTTTGTTTTTTGGGACAGGGTCTCATATACTTCAGGCTGGCCTGGAACTCCTGCCTCAGCCTCCCAAATGCTGGGACCCCAGCTCTGCACCACCACACCCAGTTTAGATGGACATTTTGATAGTGCACATTTTGATGGTGATTTTGACAGATATAAGCACCACTATAACTACTCCCTCTAACACAGTCAATTATAGTGTATTCTGTCTTCATAAATCCCTTTGTGTGCCTTCATGGGCAGTTCCTGCCATGGCCCCAGACCCCGCTGTTGGTGCAGTGTTTCTAGAATTTCATGTAAACGGAGTCATCTAGTGCATCCTCTTTCGTATATAGGATTTTTTGTTTGTTTGTTTTTAAATTTTGGTGCTTTTGGGATCAAACACAGCACCTGGAGCATGCTAGGCAAGTTCTCTACTACTGAACTGTACCCTCAGCCTTGTGCTTGGATTCTTTTGTCTCTTTTGTTTGGTATTGTTTGTTTGTTTGTTTTTTAAAAAGCGCTTTGTTTTAACTTGGCTGGCATAGTACTCTGACATTTATTTGTGATGCTGCGTGAAACAGTTATTCCTTAATTTGTTTAATCCACTTACCTGTGTGGATCACTTGGGTTGTGTCTGGTGTTTAGCTGTTGTAAAGAAAGCCACCGTGAACACATTCATTGACAGTTTCCTGTGTGTGTTTTGTGACTTCATTTTTCTGGTGTTTCTCTGGTGTACATAGCTAGGAGTAGAAGGGCGTCTGGTGTTAGCATTGTTCCACGTTTTTACCAGTGTTAAGAGACCTTCAGGTAGTTCCCATCCTTGCCGACACTTAGTATTGCTATGCTTTTTAAACCTTGGCCAGTTTAGCGGATCTCTGCAGTTCTTGCTTTTCTCTAAGGAATAATGATACTGAGCATCTGTTCACATATAGCTGACATTTTTACCATTTTGTTATTGTGGTTAAGAAACTTTGATGCTTTTGATCTAGGTCCTTTCTCAGATATGGAATGTTTCTCCAAGTCTATGGCTACCTTTTTCATTTTTCTACCAGTAGCTTTTATTAAGGTTTAGGAATTTAGTATTTTCTAAGCAGTCCTTACCATCTTTAACTTTGTAATGCTTTTACTGTTTTTTCTGAAAGTTTTGTAATTTTAGCTTTTCTAGCAGGCTTACAATTGTTTTGAACAAATATTTAATGTATAAATTTTCAGAGTTCTTAGTGACATACCAGTTTTGATCATTGTGTTTTTGCTATTTTTCCATGTAAAATACTGATTTCTATGTTGATTTTCTTTTTGGCCTATGGGTTATTTAGAAGGATATTGTTTAGTTTTCAAATGTTTGGAGTTTCCCCAGAGATCTTCTTGTTACTAATTTCCAGTTTATTTCTGTTGAGGTCAGAGAATATATTTGGTATAAATTGTGTATTTTTAATGTATTAAGATTTATTATATGGCTCAGAATACTTTACTAATTTTATTAATTATTTAGAGATTAGTATTGAAATCTTTAATTATAATTGGCGAGCTTACAAATCTCTTTGGTTTTATCAGTTTAGCTTTTTTATTTATTTTGAAATTATTAGGTACATATACATTAGACTTGTTAGATGGTCTTGATAAATTAATTTCCTTATTGTTAAGAAATGTTTATCCCTAATATTCCTTGTTCTGAAGCCTGCTTAGCTTTTGTTAATATACTACTTCAGCTTTTTTATGACAAACGTTGGCAAGGTGCAATTTTTCCATTATTTGACCTTTAAAATTTTTTAATAATGGATAAAATTTTACATATTTGTCATGTACAAATGGTGTTTTAAAATATATGTTCATCATGGAATGGTTAAACGTTGCTTAAATTTAGCTGATCGACAAATACCTTACCTTACCTCACATAGTTACCATTTTTGTGGTGAAAGCACTTAAAATTTTTTGCATTTTTTCAAGACTACAACATATTGTCATTAACTGTCTTCACCATGCTGTATAATAGATTTCTCTAACATTCCTCTGCCAACCTGTGATTAGGCTACATATCCTTTGAACTGCAGCTCCCCATCCCTTCCTCCTCGGTTCACCCTACTTCTGTGACGCCAAGTTTTTCTTCCACATGTGAGTAAAATCGTGTAGTATTTATCTCTGTGTGCCCAGCTTAGCCCATTTAATATACCTATCTCTGCGTTCTTTCTTCTTGCTGCAAATGGCAAGATTTTGTCCTTTTTGTGATGGAACAGTTCCATTATGTATCTGCAGAGCACTGGACAGGATCCAAGGTGGTTCCTGAAGCAGAGATAAGAGATCTAAACCACCCTACCTGTAAAATAAGTTTGTAGGTTCACTGACTTTCATCACAGGACAGGAATTTTCAGGACACATTAGTAAGAGGCATAAAGGGATTTATAGGCAGAAAGTTAAAACTATATACTCAAAGAAACAGAGTGCAGGCCTACATGAGAAAAAAGCACATTACTTCCTGGACCTGCGAGCATTTATGCTTCTCTCAAAGGGTGGAAACCCCGCGGAAAGAGGGCCCCCCCTCAGAAGGGTACTGCTCGTTTTGTAGGTATGAGCCAGTTCTTTTTTTTTTTCTTATATTTTGGGATGTATAGTAGATCTCTTAAACTTACTCTTCAGGCATTCTTGGAATTCTCTCAATTTGTTCCTTTATCTTAAAAGGTGTCAAGTTCCTGCTCTTTACTTCCTCAACTAAGTCCATTTATGGACATACTAGCCACAGATGGTCAGCTGGGTCAGGAAGGAAAGGAGCCTAAATTTAATCAAAGGAATGCTCCCCACGGATAGCCTTGGGTAGCTTCCACCGTGTCCCGGAAGTCTTCTTAAAAGCACACTTTGTAGTTAGAGCTTCCCTTGTCCCCTTTCTGCCTTTTTTCCTTCAGTCCTACCTCAGTACCGCATAATCCATTGCTTTGTCGGCAGACACTTCGGTGGATTCAGGATGCTGCTGCTGTGAACAGAGCTGCAATACACATGGGCGTGCAGATGGTTCTTCTGCATGCTGATTTCATTTCCTTTGGATGGGTACCAGTATGGGATTACAGAATCGCACGGTAGTTCTGTTTTGAGGGACTTTTTCTGTTTCTCCATAAATGCTTTACTAATTTACATTCCCATCAACAGGGTTAAGGATTTTCTTTTCTCCGCCTCTGTCCCAGTACTTGTTATCTATTGTCTTTCTGGTTTTGATGCTGAGGATCAAACCCAAGGCCTCATGCATACTGTGCTGTACACTTGCCTTAGGGGCCACACTCCCAGCTCATCTTTCGTCTTCGTGGTAATAACCATCTAAGAGGCATGAGATGATATCTCAGTGTGGTTCTAATTCACATTTCCCTGATAATTAGTGATGTTGAGAATGTTTTCTTTATCTTTTGGGCGTTTGTGTGTTCTTTTGAGAAATCTCTAAGGTCTTTTGGTTGTTTTTAAATAGGATTGATTCTTACTGTTGAATTATTTGTAACATAATGTTGAGGTCCTTATGTATTTTAGATATTACCTCCTTATCAGTTTGAAAATATTCTTTCTGATGCTGTAGGTCATCTCTGTTGTTTCCTTTGCTATGCAGAAGCTTTTTAGTTTGTTGTAATTTCAGTGATTTCCATTTGAAGTCATTCCCAAAAGAAGTCATTGCCCAGAACAAGGTTATGAATATTTTCCCCCTGTGTTTTTCTCTAATAATTGTCACTCTTTGAGGTCCTACAATTAAGTCTTTTTTTAACTTCAGGAAAAAATTTTAAAAATTGTATATTTAAATCTTTAATCCATTTTGAATTGAGTTTTGTTGTTTGTTTTTTAGGATTGGGAGGGGGGTACCGGGAAGCAAACTCATGACCTTATGGTTGCCAGGACAGTGGCTTATGCTGCTGAACTAAATTCCTGGCCCATTATTTTTTAGTTTTTGAGGCAAAGTCTGACTCACGATCCCCCTGTCTCAGTCTTCCAAGTGCTAGGATTATAGGTACATACATACCTGGCCCTTAAGTTGATTGCTTTTTTGTATATGTGAGAGATTAGGGTCTCATTTCATTCTTCTGTATATTGGTATCAGTTCATATAGCACCACTTACTGAAGTGACCGTCCATCCATTCCTCACTGTGTATTTGGGCCCCTTAGTTGAAACTTAGTTCGCTACAAACACGTGGATTATTTCAGAGGTATTTTGTCCCACTAATCTGTGTCTTGTTATGAAAAAGACAAAAAAATATAAAAAAAAGTTGTGTATTTTGAAGTCAAATAGTGTGATGTCTCAGTTCATACCATTTGCTCTAGATGGCTTTGGCAATTAAGGATCTTTTGTACATACCGATTTTATAGTGTGTTTTCTGTTTCTTAAAAATTGTTATTGATATTTTGATATAGATTTTATTGAACATATAGGTTGCCTTGAGTAGTATGTACATTTTAATCATGTTCTTCTAATGATCTTTCCATTTATTTGTGTTTTCTATTTTTTTTAATCAAAGTTACAGAGTTTTCAATTTAGAGATCTTTTACCTTCCTTGTGAAATATATTCCTGGGTTTTTTTTTGGTATTTATTTTAATTGGAATTGTTTTCTTGATTTCTTTTTTTTTAGCTAATTCATTATAGTTTATCAAATATTACTGATTTTTGTATGTAGATTTTATATACAGCAACTTTACTAAATTTTTTTTTTTTTTTTTTGGCGGTACTCGGGGTCGAACTCACGACCTTACACTTGCCAGGCAGGCGCTTAATGCTGCTGAGCTAAATCCCCAGCCCTAAATTTGTTTATATCTAACAGTTTTTAATGTAGTCTGTAGGGATTTCTATATTGAGGAGCACATCATTTGCAAACAAGGGCAGTTTAACCTCTTCCTTTACAATTTTGATGCCTTTATTTCTTTATCTCACCTGATTACTGTGATTAGGTACAACTTCCTGTAACTTGTTCAACAGAAGTTGCAAAAATGGGCATCCCTGTGTTGAAGAAAAAGCTTTCAGCTTCCAGTGTGACTTTAGATGTTTGTTGGTTTGTTTTTAGATGTTTAGATTTTCTCTTTATTCATAATTCAGTCTTGGTAAGTTATATGTGTCTAGGAATTTACTTCTTCTAGATTATCCAGTTTATTGTCAGGTGTTGTTCCTAGTTGTCTTTTATGATCTTTTGAATTTCTTTATTATTAGTTGTAATGTCGCTTTTTTCATCTCTAATTTTGTATATTATACTCTTCTCTTTTTTCTTCATTTCTGTAGCTAAAGGTTCATTGACTTTTTTTCCAAAAAAAACGATTCTTCATTTCATTTATCTTGTATATTGGTTTAAATATCTGTTTCATTTATTTCTGCTTTAATCTGTATTATTTTCTTTCTTCTACTAATTCTGAGTCATTTGTTGTTTTTCTAGCTCCTAGAGGTGTAAATAAAGTTTTTTGAAAGCATCTTTTTCTGTTGTATGTATTTGCAGCATATGTCTTTTCCTCATTTTACCTTTTCCTGTGTGTATTGTAGTTGTGGTAGGTTTTTCATACCATATGGTCCAGATTTTTAATGGGAATATATAGTGCATTTACATTTAATGTAATTCTTCTTGCAACAAGATTTCTATGCCATATTACTATTTGTTTTCTATTTGTTACATTTTTGTTCTTTTAAAAAAAATTTTCCCACTGTCTTTGAAGTAATTTCTCTTGTGTGTATGTGGGTTTTGTTTTGTTTTGTTTTACTTTTTTTAGGGATACTGCTCTAGGTTGACAGTATACACTTTTTATTTATCATAATGTCATTTTCTTTTTCTTTCTTTGAGACAGGGTCTTGCTATGTAGTTCAGGCTGGCCTTGAACTCACTATGTAGCCCAGGGTGGCCTCGAACTCACGGTGATCCTCCTGCCCTCAGCCTCCCAAGTTCTGGGATAACAGGTGTGTGCCACCACATCCAACAAGACTTTATTTTCATGTTTGAATTTTTTTTGACTAGTTATGACTTCTAGGTTGGCACTTTTTTCCAGGTTCTTTAAAAGTATCCTCCCTGTCATCTTCCGGTTTGTACCTTTCTTAGAAGAATCTATAGCAATTCTTAATCCTTGTTCTTTTATGCATAATGTATTTTTTTTCCTGCTCTGATTATCTATTTAGGACTGATTTTCAAGTTTGATCACGATGTGCCGTGGTTATTTTCATATTTCTTCTTTTTGAGATTCATTGAGCTTCTTGGATTTATATACAATTACCATCAAATTTGGAGAATTTGGGGCCATTATTTTGTCAAACTTCTTTCCTAGTTTTTTCTTTTCTTCTTTTGGGGTTCTGTTTGCACCTTAAGTTGGGTTTTTTTTTTTTTTTTTACCACAAGTCAAGTTGTTTTCATATTTCTTGACTCTCCCCCCCCCATTCATTTTGAATAATTTTGTTTTTATATGTCTTAAAATCAATCATTATTTTGTCTGCAATGCCTAATCCTCTTTTAATTATAGTGAAATTTTCTTTTAAGATATTTTAGTTCTCATCAGTAGAATTTTCAGCTGTTTATTTTTGCTTCCATTGTTCATTTTTGATTATTGTCTTTTTTTTTAGATTTCATACATATAGTATTTATAGTTGCTTTTGTCTATGGGTCACATTTTTCCTATTTCCTCACATGTACATTAATTTTTTAATTGACTACTAGACATTGTAAATGTTACATATTGAGAATTTGGATTTTATTGCTTTTATAAAACCCTGCTAATTTTCAAAGCATTGTTGTGGTTTATTTAAAGTTATTTGTAGGTCTAGGATAGTTCCACCACTAGAGATTCTTGTGGGATGTCTATTAAATGACCTCATGTTCAAGAAGATTTCTCCATTCTGGCTATTGAGTCTCAGTTTGCTGTCCTGAACTCTAGAAATTATTTTGCCTGCACTTTGCTCTTAATCATTGTTTATTCTGACAGTTGCTCTTTGCTCGGCTAGACTTTTACTCAGTACCTGGGAGAATGGTATTTGCCCCGAGACCCCAGGGGCTCCTTGTGATGGTTTCTTTATTGCCTCTTACGTAGTTTCCGTCTCACTTATGCATTGCCCTGGAAATTCCGTTTCTTAGAACTTTGATTTCTTTCTTTGTCTTTGTTTTGTTTTGCTTTTTGAGACAGGGTCTTACTATGTAGGCCTGGCTGGCTTTGAACTCACTGTGTAGTCCAGGCCAACCTGGAATTCATGGGCATACCTCTTGCCTCAACCTCCAACTACTGGGCTTAGAGGCATGCACCACCACGACTGACAGTACTGTGATTTCTGTCATCTCAGCTCACATATTGTTGTGCTCTACTTGAACTCCCCCTTTCCTGCATAGTCTGGAAATTACAGAAAGGCCAAGCAGCAGTAGGAGCATGCCTCATATATTTTCTTCATCAGGGGTCGCAGTTCACGCTGCCAATTGTTTAATGTCTGAAAACAGTTGTAAGACTTGCACCCTTTCTTTACATTTATACCAAGAGGGTAGGTCTTGTAACAGTTATCCTTTCATGTGTAGAAGCAGAATTTTCTTGTTTAGTTTTAATTGCTTTTGACCTTTTTTTTTTTGAACAAATGGCATGTTCTACCTACTCTTGCTTTTTTCATTAAGTATTATGTTACTAAGATTCATGTTGTTACGTGCACTTACAACTCATTCTTCCTCAGTGCTTTACTGTACTTTGCTATGTGTTTATACTGATGTTAGTTTTTCATTCTCCTGCTGATAGGCATCTGCCTTCTTTCTGGTCTTTGCTCTTAAGCACAACTGTGCTATAAAATATTTTGCTAAGTGTCTCCTGGGTGTGTTCTAGTGGTGAATTGCATCATGCAGCTTTCCTAGAAGAGGCAGGTCAGTCTTGGAGGCAGTATGTGACAGCATCTTCAGGTGTGGAGTGAAGACAGGTAGTTCAGGCAAGGAGTCCTGTCCATACCCGTGGAGAGTCCTATTGCAGAAAGTTGTGTTCAGCGATTGGGCTTGAGCTGCTGCTTGGTGTGGGGAGAAGGATCTGTCAGAAGCAGAGATCTGTGGAAGGTTTGGTGTGAGGGGACTCTAAGGAAAGTTCTTGGCAGGACCAGTGTTGGACAGCTGTGTGGAAAACGTGTGCATGAACTGTTGGTACAGATGATCCAACTTCTGAAAGCAAGTGCTTCCTGCAGTGGACACCAGGGAGCCACTGAAAGCTCTCAAATTGTGGAATAATATGACTGCAACAGCCACCTCGGTACATTTTCATGCCATTTATGCATCTGTGCCAAGGTTTTCGTGACCTCTTCTGTATGTGTAATTTCTTTGGGGGGTTTCTTTTTCTTTTTCAGTTTTATGTTCTCCATTTGCTGTATCACCTTCTTCTAACCCAAGAAATACTGCCCCTTTTTTCTTCTTCTTATGTTCTAAATTAAATTATTTTTCCTTATTCTCATTTTATTCCATTTCTGCTTCTTTCACTTTTAAAATTTTGATTTGAGCAACTATCTCCTCATTTGCCAATATAGAAATAGTATATCTCTAAAACAATAAATAAAAATACAGAAAGAAATGGGGTGTTTCTTTAGGAATGCTGTATAAATAACCTTTTATTGTTGTACTTTGTCCATAGTTTATTTCTGCTTTTTCCTCCTTAACTAAGCTTAAGTGGTAACTGGTTTCTTTCTTTGTCTCTCAGGTCCTACCTTGAGCACAAGACCTCCATGAACTATATGCTAGCAACACGCCTCTTCCAGGACAGGTGGGAATTTGCTGAATTTATAAATTTAGGGTTCAATCATAAGATTAGGAGAAAGTATACAAAAGAAGGAAAGAAATTTTATAAAGTCTTCATGTAAAAATCTGTGATAGAAGGGACCTTGCTGAATTATCATACCTTATAATATAATACCTTCACAATACAATACCTTATTTTACACAATTTATCACATCCCAGTCATTGCTAATCTTTTCTTTTTTCCAGTACTGAGGATTGACTCATGTATTATTTTCAAAAACCAAAAATTGAATCATAAAGTTCTTTGAGCCATCTTAACACAGGCCCTGAACTTTATTCTTCTTCCAAGAAAATTCATGTACAGGGCCTTTTTACCTTAGACACATTTTTATCAGACATGATTATTTGTTTTTCTCAATAAAAAAGATCAGAATTATCAGATCAGAAAAAGATAAGAGGAGATAATTCACAAAATAAATAAACAATGCCAACGGATAATATTAATACTAAGGAAAACTGGGGAAAGAAACAAGCACTGCTTACAGTCAGGGACAACTTCGTCCCATGTATTTTTGTGGGACTCATACTGCCTGAAGTCCATTTCAGCAGTTGATTATAAAACTCACTCTAGTAGGTGAAATCCATATACTTTCGAGAATATGTTTTACTTTTTTTTTGAAGGCCTGTTACAATGGTTACCCAGATTTCAGCCATTTCTTACAATTTCATGATTTATCTTCAGGACACAGATGGCATTTATACTGTGTGTTATTCTGGTAAATAGCATTGATTAATTATATGTGTAGCTTTTGGTAACATAGAAGACTTTCAGATCTTCGTAGATAGTTTCGAATTCTTGTTCTCATTCTCCCTTCTGTCTCACAAAAACTTTGACAAAATGTCTTAGTTATTTTTCTCTTATTGCTGAGACAAAATACTCGACACCCAAAGTTAAAGGGGGAAGGGTTTATTTAGCCCACAGTTTGTAGAGATTTCAGTCCATAATTAGCGAGCTCCAAGGCAGAGTAGATTGGCGGAGCGGCATTGCAGAAGAGAACCAGTTCATGGCAAGCAGAAGAAGACAGCAAAAGGAAACAAGTGAGGGAAAAGACAAACCCCTTATATTGGATCCTGGCCATCTGGACAAGGGTGATGCCAAACCAGTCAGTGCACTGATTTAATAAGCACACACCTTTAATCTGGCATCCCACACTCTAGAGTCAGCCACCTCTGAGAAGCCTCACCTCTGATGACTGCATGAGGCTTTGGGGGGACATCTAGACACAAAGCATAACACAAGGGTTACCTTTCAAAGTTAAATACTTATCAGGACGTGTTCTGGTTTGTCATTTCTTAATATTTTGGTTTTGGAGGAGAGCGAGTCCTTTTAGTGTGAAGATTTAAGCCTTTATACTGTGGGGAACTTCCTTTATTCCCTACTTCTTCTTTTGTGGAATTTTTTAGATATATTTCATCTGTAACCTCCACACTTTTTTACTTTTTCATCCTCTAGGGGCTGGGGATTTAGCTCAGCAGCATAAGCGCCTGCCTTGCAAGTGTGTGGTCATGAGTTCGATCCCTGGTACCGATAAAAAAGAAAAAGACTTTTTCATCCTCTGTCTCCTTTTTTTTAATCTCAACTTTATGTTCTTGGAGACTTTCTTTTTTTACTTCTTTAGTTGTAAGGATTGAACCCATGGCCTTGCATGTGCCCTACCTTAAGCCATATCCCAATTCTTGGAGGTTTCTTCAGCTTTGCCTCTAAATCAGTCTTACAGTTATGAGAATTCAATTTTTTTTAACTCAGAGAATTTTTTAATATTCAAAAATTATTTTTACTTTCTGGTTAGTTTTTATATTTTATGTCTTCAGATTTCTGTCTTAGATTGTTTATACTTCCTTTCAGCCATCTGCACTGTATTATTCCTTTGTATTCATCCTGCTTGTTCATCTTGTTCTTTCTAGTTTTTACTACCACGAGTCTACAAATATTTGGTGATCTTTGATTATCCAGTCATATTTAAAAGTAATGGGACTTTCGCTTAAAATAGATGGCATGGGCTGACCAGAGTGTGCAGGTCTGTTTTTGAGCTGACACTGACTCTGCCTGAGGCTGGATCTTTCCACACTGGGCTTCCCGTGACGGGGAGGGAGGGCGTAGTAAGCAAGCTGGGGACCACCATGCTAGCACAATTAGGAAGCACTCCTTGAGGAGCAGAGCAACAATAAAAAATTTGACATATTATAATATATATGTTTTTTGTGGATGTCAAATAGTAAGGCCTAATAACTACCACAATTTCAGGAATGAGTACTGATATTATTTTAAAATACTTGTGACAATTCTAAGTAAAATGAAAAAAAGAGATACGTTTCTATGGTTAATGAAGGGACACTGATCCACTACTGTGGTTTCCTACATGTATATTTGTGGAGATACTAAATTCTAGTTCGAGGATATAATTGTTTTTTCCTGTGTTTTTTCTTTAGGTCTGTTATAAAGTATTATAAACTCCAGTTTATAAAGTATTACAAACAATTTTGGTTAAGAAAACATAAATTCTCCCCTTGTAGCAATGAAATTCCCTCCGTGATCTATCTTGCCTACCATTTTACCCTAATACCTCCTTTCCCATAACAACCCATAGACACCTAGTCAATGTTGACTTGTTCTTTCAATCTCCTAATTCTTACAAACTCCTTCCCTTTCTCTTAGAATGACCTTCAGTCCAGCCCTAATTTCCTCTAGCTATGTTCTGTTCCTCTAGCCTAGATTAGGAGGTTGTATCCAACCCTTCTTTTATCCTTCAGTCTGTTTAGATTCTTGATTATATTATACTTTCCTGTTCACTAACTTTATGTGTTGGCACCTAGGAGTGAAACTTTGTTATGTTCATTTTTGTCAGTATCAAGAACTTAGCCACATGGTCAGCGCACACACACAAATACACATTGAGAAAATGAAATTGTATTTGGTCCAGCCTACAACATGGTAAGCACACGCAAAAGAATTTGCACTGAAAACAGGAAATTGTTCCAAGACCTAATATCTTCTGCTCAGTCCCTTTTCTTAATCTGAATTGATGTTTTCTCTTGCAAATCCAATTGTGTTAGGTTAATTTTGTCTGCCACCTCTTCTATCCCCAACTCCTCCCCTACCTACCCACCCTGCACTTACAAATAGTATCTTACATGGTGTTTTGCACTGTGGCGGTAGTTTTTTTGTTGTTGTTCTTGTTTGGTTTTTGTTTTGTCTTTTTTTTTCAGACAGGGTTTCACTATGTAGTTCATAGCTGGCCTTTGTAGCCCAGGCTGTCCTCAAACTAGCAGCAATCCTCCTGCTGAACCATGCCGGCTTCACATTACCAACTCCTGAGGATCTTTAAATCATAATTTATGTCCTGCCTTTATTCCTGGAGGAAAGGAAAGTGTGGTAGTCCTTACTGCCTGGTGATTGTAATGTGAAGCTGTGGTTGCACATTACTGGAGAAAACTGTTATCTGGATGAAGGAAAAAGTTCAAGTCATCGTGAGATTTTGTGACAATATCAAGACATTAGGGATAGAAGATACAGGAAAGGAAAGACAGAACATCTTGGTAAAGACATATTTTCTGTAAATACAACCTGTCCTGCATTTGTCTCTTTAAAATGATCAGAAGTTAATGTGCTGTGTTAACGTGACACTTGTACAATGGTAACATGTGGTTCCACAAGTCCTTATGGGGTGCCCTAACTGTTCAGGATCTTGGCTGTGATGCTAGACACATGGACCAACAAAGAGTAAAATTGGGCTGAGCCAAACATATGCATACACAGATGAGTACCTGTAAAACGCGATCCCTTCCCCAAGTGTTAAGTGAAAAGAAATTGCCTGAGGAGCGAATGTTTTTAAAAACAAAAGCAAGCATTTAAACATGCATGGCACTCAATCCCTGTGGTTAGAGCCCAACACTAATGTAGCAACAGTCAAGAGACCTTCCCTTTCTTTGAGGAGGGTTTTTTTTTTTTCCTTTCTTCCTTTTTCTTTTTAGTTATGGAAAATCTGTTTCTGGTCAATATCCACTTGGAAACTATGAGAATCAAGCTTGGTTTCCTTTCCTAAAATAGTTCAATGAAAGGAGAAGAGCTCTGCTGTCTGTGGCCTAAACCCTGGGCTCAACTGTAAACCCTGTAAGCCCTGACCGTGCTTAGTTACTGCGTTACTTTAGCCTTCTCGTTTATATAAACCGGCTAATTAACAACCTTCTTCACATGATCGTTGTGAGCAATAAGGATGATTTGCTTTGGAATTAGACAAATGCAAGTCATTGTTACCATTTTTTCCCTAGAATATCTTGCTGTTTCCTTTTTGTTTTTCGCGGATCCTTCAGCTCACTGTGGCCTGCCCTTCCCCGAGGATATTCTCATTTGCCTTTGCTGACCACATTTCATGGTGACTTTCTATAATAAAAATTTCAGGATTGCTTGTGTGTGTGAACTCCAGAGTTAAATATCCAAAAAGCATTCTCTAACCTAGTTGTCCTTTCTACTTCTGTAGGGGAAACACAAGAAGAAGCTTATTGGCAGGAAGAACACGGTAACTGATTTCTAAAAGTTGTGAAATTCTTTCCATGTGCATAATATGTGACCATGCACAGGCCAAGCATACTGCTTTCTATAACTATTTTCAGTTCGGCTCTGCATGAATACTAACATAAAATGTTGTCTGTTGAAAAAGTATTCTGTGGCCATTTCTTGCCAACTATGAAATTTATTGTAACAACATGAATACCATTTTAACTGATCATAATAGTGATCTTTTTTGGCTGTGTGAGACCAGACAATTAATGAGATTTCAAGACTGTTGCTACATTACGCTCAAATAAGTTTATGTTTTAACATAGCTGAGATATATAACTGCATGCCTTATGGGATGAGCTGAAACTGCTTGCAGTCTGCCACAGGACTGAAAATGTGCAAAATATTTAGGGCTTTTTGTTTGAGCAAAGACAAGAAAGATCTTACAGGAGAGGCTGAGATGACTGTCTCACAAACACTCCAGCTACAACAAAAACTCTTAAATCACAGCACATCTGCAGGTTACAGAGAATCTGAGATATTACCTATGTCCCCTTTATGCTGGACATCTTTTAAAAAATGACATCAGTAAGAAAGAAACCGCTTATATCTAGTTTTTGTTTTGCATTTAAGAGTCAATTAAAATAAACTTTTATTTCAATTCTTCTAAAGAAAGGAAGCATTACAATTGTCTTTTAATTAAGGAAAAACAAGTCAAGTTTCTGGCTTGTTGCTGATGAAAGTTATACTTTGTTTATAAATTTTCTCTAGTTTTAGTAAAGGAACATACTTAGACTATACTGCTGTCAACGTGGGAATTGGGGAGAACAGAGAAAAAAATCATAAAACAGTAAGAATATTTAAGCATCATTTCTGTCCTTTTTCACCTTTTTAGAACTCATTTTGTATTACCATCAGGGGGCTTTTTAGTGGGGCAGAGGTATAAACAGATGAAAGCTGGCACATGATACCATACACCAGCATATGAAACAAATTTAACTATATGTAAAAGGATTGTAATAATACCTCGCATGTGTGTCCTGTGGCCACAATGGAATTAGACATCAGTAACAATAGAAACAAATAGAATAGAAAAGTATTTGTTATCCCTGTGTATCTGAAGATGAAAAAATTCATTTCTAAATGTGAATCAAGGAAGAAAGGACAAGGGAAATGATAAACTATTTTGACCTTGATAATAAAAATAAAACATCAAAATGTCTGGGATGCAGCTGGGTGAGTGCTTTGAGGGAAATGTGTATCTTTCAATGCTTATATTTTAAAAGTAAGTGCTAAAATAATTGACTTACTATGTCTATTAAAAACTTAGGAAAAGCAGAATAACCCAAAGTCAGTAGAAGAGAGGAAATAATAAAGAGCACAAATCAAGTAAAAGCCAAATCATAAAAACCTATCAAACTCCAAAATTTATTAATAAGCTATCAGACATGATAAGTATCCTCAGTTAAATCTAATTGAGGAAAAAGAGGAGCACAAGTACAGTACCAAGTTCAGATAGAGAAGGGAAGAGATTACTATAGATCCAACAAATACAAAATGCATAATGAGTGGAGGAGTACTGTGTACTATTGACAGCCCTTCTGTTCCTCTGATGGTGAGGTGGAATTACTAAATTCCTTGTGTGTATGAGAGCAAACACTTACCCAAACCGACAAAAGCTGAAAAAGAAATTTCGAAGCACACTCTTACCTATTCAGAAAATTGAATTGGATTTCAAAAAACTTTCTACCAAAAAACCTCTAGACTTGTTGGTTTTACTGTAAGTTCCATCAAACATACAAGGAGGAATAATACCAGTCTTACATAAACTCCTTCAAAAATACAGGAATGGACCCTTTCCAGCTCTTTTTTGTGATGTAGCATGACTATGATTAAAAAATCTGACCAAGACATTTTAAAAAGGAGAAAATTACAAGCTGATGTCTTTCATGAGGATAGACACACAATTTCTGTTAAGAATATTAATAAGCTTAGCTAGATACAGTGTGTTCTTGTAGGCTGAGTTTGAGTTTGAACCCTGCCTGAAAAATATAGTAAATTAGCAAGATTTTATGTGAATGAATGAATGAATCAATCATTCAATCAATGAACCAGTCAATCCACCAGTATATGAAAATTATAACACATATGACTGAGATTTTTCCTAACAAAGTTGGTTTAATGTTATTTTGGGGGGATGACACTGTTGGGAACTGAAACTAGGGCTCTCTTGAGCCATATTCCTAGCCTTGGTTTAAAATTTGAAAAAGTCAATTTATATGATTATGAAAAAAAACATAAATAATTCTCCCTGGAAAAAATTAAGGCTGATACAATTCAAAAGATTATGAGAAATACTCCAGAAACAGTGTGATAAAAGTCTTACATGAAAACTCTATCACTGTTCCAGGGATGGCGGAAGACACGTGTAATCTCAGCTGTCTTTAAAAACCACACACACAAAAAAATCCCCAGGATGTAGCTCAGTGGTAGAGGCTTGTCTAGCATGTTGGCACCCTGTGTTCAATCCCCGGTACTGAAAATAAAATGGAGTGGGTAAAGCATCAACCTGGTGAAATATTGAAGGAATTTCTCCTGAATAAGACAGTGTCTATTCTTACCACTTTTATTTACATTGTACTTGAAGTCTAGACAGTATAACAAGATGAGGGAGAGAGTAAAAGGTATACAGATTGGAAAGAAAGAAATGAAATGTCTTTTCTTAGGTGACACAATCAAGTGAATGAAAAATCCTAAGACACCCACAAAGTAACTGAGAACGTACAGCGGCGTATGCTAAGATGTTCAAAGGCCAGTCTGCTAGAATCTATCATATTTTAATATATTACAAGTCAATAATTGGAAAAAAAATTTAAATTTTATTTATAATAGTATTTGAAAATAGAAAATGCTTGGAAGAAATTTAATATGTTCAGTAATGGTACATAAAATGCTATTAATAATACTGAAAGAGATATAGAAAGACGTAGCTAAATAAAGAGCTATGCCATACTCATGATCGATAGACTTTACAGTGTTTAAGTATCTGGTCTCCTCAAAGAATCTAAAAGATAATAGTGTGATCATAATCATTCTAGTAGATTTTTTAAAAATAGAAACTGACCAGCTTTTGGGTAGGGCTACTGGAGATCAAACCCAGTAATGTGCTAAACTTCATGGCTCTTTTTACTTCTTTATTCTGAGACAGGGTCTCACTAAATTACCCAGAATTTATAATCCTCCTGCCTCAGCGTCCTGAGAAGTTGGGTTACAGATGTATATCAGCACTTTTAAAATTTATATGAAAACGCAAAAGACCTAGAAAATGCAAAGTAACCCTTTTTGTTTGTTTGGGTTTTGGTTTTCTTAAGACAGGGTCTCACCGTGCAGTCCAGCCTGGCCTTGAACTCACAGTGCAGCCCAGGCTGGCCTTGAACTCATAGTGATCGTCCTGCTGCAGCCTCCTGACATTGCAGGCATGCACCACCATGCCGAGCTACCAAAGTAATCTTAAGTAAGAGTTATACTACCTCACTTAAATAGAATCATGCTATAGCAGTCAAGGCAGTAGTAAATTAATCGTGAGACAGAACAGAGCCCAGAAACACCCACATTTTTAATAAAGTGTGATCAATGAAATCTGCATTAAAATTTTTAAAAAATTTATTACAGTAAAAGACATTGCTATTAAACCCCCTAAAATACTATTCCTTGCTTTGAACACATGCCACTGGTCTTGCCATTTTCTGAAGCAGTTCTGGAAATCCTTTTTCATGAGAGTCTTCAGTGGCACTGTCATAGTTTCCATGATGCCCTTAGTTGGTTCTCAATGCTTTTATCTTCATGGCCGTTTTGACTCTGGGGAAGAGCTGCAAGTTGCACCATGCCAGATTCAGTGAAAAGGCAGAGGAGGCCACACCATAATGGTTTAATGAACTTGCCTTTATGGTGGCTGGCACTCACCAGCAGCCTTCACTGTAGTTCTTTTTGATCACACCTCCTTAAGACGCCAGCAGGACTTCCAGAATTGCTTCAGAAAGTGGTAAGAGTGACGGGACAAGTGTCTGAAAAAAAAGGGACTATTTGGAGAGGAGACTAAGGGCAGTGTGTCTTTTACTATAGTAAAATTTTTACAAATTCGAACATTCAGTGTGTATTTTAATCACCCCTTATATGGTCATTTGATTTTCAACAAAAGACCCAGAGCAGTTCAGTGGGAAAAGAAGATTCTTTTTAACAAAGAAACTAGAACAACTGGATATCATATATTTAAAAATAAACCCCAACACTGCCTCGTCTGCCATAAAAATTAATGACTCATAGATATAAAAAGTATTACATAAAACCACTTGAAATATAGAATATTTTTGTAGGTGGCAGAAATTTTTTATGTATGACACAAAATACAGTAAACAAAAAATAGGTTAGATTTCCTCGAGATTAAAAATTTAATCGTAAGGTACTGTTAAGAAAAGACTAGAGCTGGGTGTGGTGAAGCATGCCTGTAATTCCAAGCACTCTGAGAGGCTGAGACAGGAAGATTACACGTTTGAGCCCAGCATGGACAATTTAATGATTTAGAAACACCCTGTCTGAAAATAAAAAATAAACACATTTTTAAAATGGCTTGGAGATATGAGTGTGATGGCCTCGAGTTCAATTCCCAGTAGCATAAGAAAGAAACATGGTCAGGTAAGCCATGGACCAAACAAAGAAGTTCTTCAGACATTTGCAAAGGTTTGGTATATAGAAAAATCTAAAGAATCTACACCTCAGTTATTAGGCAGTCCAATTATAATCCAGTAAAATGTATGTGTGAGTATGTCAGAAGGAAGATGGATAGTCAATATGCTCATGAAAATGTGCTTAAAACATTAGTTACCTGAGAATTACAAATTAAAACCATGGTATGCCCCTAACCATTTAGCAAAATTTCTAAAATTAGACTCACTAAGCCACGTGTCACACAGAGCTAACAGAAGTCTGATAAGTTAACATTATTGTTATAAACTAGGACAAGGACTGGAGACCAAGGGTCTGGCATTTTCTTAAGAAAGTCTAGCAAATTCCATTCTGAGGTTGTTACCCAGAAAAAATGAAAAACATAATCACAAAGTGGTTTGTATAGTTATGTTCAGAGTAACTTTATTCATAATGTCTCGAACAACCTAGGTCTCCAAAAATGAGAGAGTAGATAAACTCTCTGAATGGTGTGTATCATTCAGACCATGGCAGTTAAAAAGGATGAATGCTACTATGTCGTGGCAGATTATGCTGAATGAAATACACCCTACACAAACCATCACACTATACGGTTCATTTGTGTGGAGTTTTAAATTGTTCAAAATGTAAACGATAAAAAATTCAGAGCAGTGATTACATTTAAGGAATTAAGGGAGGGATTCGCTGGGAAAAGACATGAGGATTTCTTAAGATGAGAGTAATGTTAGAATTCAGTTATGTCACTGTATGCATTTGTTAAAATCCACTAAATGCACATTTAGCATTTGGGTATTTTACTATATGTACGTTAGGTCATAAAAACTCCTATTATACAGTGTGCATTCTAAGGAGTAATATATGCATGTGAAACATTGAAGAGAGAATGTGCTGACGTTTGTCTGCAACTTGGAGATGTTTTAAAAATTAAATGGCCTGATGGGTCGACAGAGGAGGATTGGTGTATGAGCTGCCGAAGCAAACATTTTGAGGAGGTTCGGATGTGTATGTGTTCAGTGAGACAAATGCAATCAATACAGTGCTGTTCTCTTTGTTTAAATATTTTTATAATAAGATGTTAGAAAAATCTGTAGTTAAAAGGAATGACAGATTATTCATACGGAACTGAACTGTTAACGAGACAATATTCATGCCATGCTGCTATGTGCTGGGCAGGCTCAGCATGACGGACACAGTGATGGACAAGAGAAGTGTGATCTGTGCTGAGCAAAGATCCATGATTCCCTGGCGTCCCGTGCACTAGCTAGTATTCCTCTGTCTCTCTTAGCTCATGTTGACATTGTAAATATCTATAGAGAGGGAAATTCTTAATAGCTTCTGCAGATCTCTGAGCTTTAAGGATTCATACTTTCAGAAGTCTTTTTTTTTTTTCAGCTTTTGAATAATAATTACCCTTAAAAAGTCTTCCCCAAGGAACCATGTTCTTGACAACATAGGCAGAGACACTTTCTCTTACGTAATGGGTGCAGTTCATGAGCATAAACACTGGGCTTTCATTTGTTTGAAGTTAACTTCCACCCCTTCAATTCAAGTGACCCAGAACATTAAAATATTTAGGGTCATTTTAACAGTTTTTTAAAGACATGGCTTTGAAAGAGAAATGTTCCTGAGCATCAAGATAAAGATGTCACACAATTGTCTACACAATTTTCAAATTTGACCAAGTTGGTTAGATATTATCAAATAAATATTTTGGATGATTTTTAAATCAAATTTATTTTCTGTATTATTTAATTGGCTACATATTTTCATAGCTCCATGTGTGTGGTTCAGTCTTTAGAACTATGATAAAAAAAATAGTTGCCAACTATTTTTAAAGTTTATTGATAGGTACATGATACATGCCTGTAGTCTTTTCTGCTTGGAAGGCTGAGGCAGGAGGATAGCTTGAACTCAGGAGTTTGAAACCAGCCTGGGTAACAGACTCCAATGCAAAAAAAAAAACCAAATTGTTCATTAATTTGCTTTCCATTTCTTCTCCCAGTGTCAGTATCCTACCTGGTCTTGGCTCAATTTCTTGTTCTGAAGAGAAAGCCTGCAGAATATTTAGCATAGCTTGTCCACCCAGAAGTGCCTCTCAGAAAATCCTAAACAATCTTGGTGATTACAGGCGCATGCCTGTAATCCCAGCACTTGGGAGGCTGAGGGAGAAGTATCATAGCAAGTTCAAGGCCAGCCTGAGCTAAGAGTGAGTTTGAGGCCAGCCTGAACTTCATAATGAGACCCTTTCTCAAAAATCCCAAAAAAATAGAAAGACCTAAAGAGACTAACAGACATAGCCAGAAAGCCCTGCAGAGTCAGGGTGCCGCCTTGACAAGGACTATGCTTTGCATTCTAGATCGTGTTCAGCACTTCCATGTTAGCGCTTGAGTTCTGTGTGTAGCGTTGGCCACGTGCTCCCAGACACCGGCCGGGTCCTCCTTTCTGGCCCAGTTACCCAGACCCCTGTTTCTCTTTCTCGACCTGGTTATCTCTGCGTGCCTAGTCCTTGTCTGGATCGGGCCTGCCGTTGGTCAGCCGGCCTGTGACTCGTCTTGCTTGACTGCCTCCTGTAGCCGTGATCAGCCTCCTCTTCCCATCCCACTTCTCACGCGGGATCTGAAGTTGATCTTGTCCTCTGTCTCTGCCTTCTCTTGTCTGTGCCTCTGACACTAACTTCTCACCTGCGCGCTCCCACTTTTCCTCCCCTGACTGATATCTAAGTAAGGGCTGTGTTGGGGTGCCTGAGACCCCAGTCTTGGTAACTACACTGAGACTTTCCCTATAAGTCCCCCTTAGCCTGGTGCTACATAAACAGTACGTGCTGTCTCCCCTCAGCATACCCTCTGCCAGAACTCAGGTTATCACACACATTCAAAGTGATCTTATGAATTTCTGAGTAAGTTATAATTAACAGCAGTAGAGTCATGCAACTTACGGATTAGAATGTTACTAATATCTCCCAATTATGTATTCATTTGTTAGGTGTTGGTGACAGTTTACAACCAGTAAATTAATAAGCTGTGTTACTCAATGCTTGAATGTACTTAAACATTGTCTTCAGATAATTTTTGTTCAGAACATTTCACAAATTCAGATAGGCCTGTAGTGAGTTTTACTATAGATCCCAGTATTCCCTTTTGTCAGTGGAACCTTTCGAATTCACCAGTGTTGCCAAGCCCAATCTGTCACTCGTAGAGTTCTGTCAAGCTTAGCCCTGGACTAAAGGAGAGAAATTCCGCTTGTTTTTCCCCTAGAGTGACCACTGACGGGATGCCAGAACTGAAGATAGAGAGTATGAATTCAAAGGCCAAGCTGCATGCTGCTCTTTACGAGAGGAAACTTCTGTCTCTGGAGGTGCGAAAACGTAGACGACGGAGTGGCAGATTGAGGGCACTGAGGCCAAAATACCCAGGTACCTGCCAGTGACCTTTCACCAAACTGCATAACCTGCGCTCTGCCAGCCCGAGTTAAGCAGCATCTTAGGCAGAACTTACTGAGTCAGAACTTTTCTGATAGAATATATTTATTTTTATTATGAATAGTCTTTTTCTGGAACTTACTTTCGAAAGGATTATAAACTTTTAAACCTTGCCTTCCGTAACACTTGTATTACCACCATACAGATAGCAAGACTTCAGAAATAGGCTTAACCTGAGCTTAATGGACCACTAAGCGTTGCCTTTGGGGTCTGTGATGACTAGGTGCGTCCAGTCATCCTTCAGAAGTGCTGGACGGTGTAAGTACTTTAGACACAGGAATTTCTGATTCTTCCAGGTCTATTTTTAATTGATAACTGACTGACTTTCTCTCCCCTGCTGCCCTCTATAAAGCTCCTTTATAGAGCATCAGGCACCATGTTAGTTGCTGGGGTTTCATAACAAAGATAGGGTCCTTGTTTTTATAGAACTTATAAGGCAATAGAGGAGAAAAATAAGAAGAAAACATAGGGTAGTAAGCTATTCCCCTGCTCTTGGCACCTCCACAAAGGGTGCTTTTCTAAAACCCTGTAACACAATATAGTTTTCTCTTGGTGGTTGGTAGGGGGTTGTGAGAGAGTCATTGGCATAAGTAATATCAACTGTAATGCATATCACAGATAGATTTTTGAAGATTTGAGAGTGACGTGTAATTGCTATTAATTTTGTGCCTTCTTTGTGGTTTAATTTGGAAATGGGTTTTTACTTAAAAAGATAAAAGGAAGGTGTTGGGAGAGAGGAAATTTTAATCCTTTTTTCAGCAACATTAGTGATTCTTCGCATTTAGTGATTACCCAACCAGCTGAAATGAATGGTAAGCCCGAGACAGAGAGTGAAGAGGAGGAAGAGGTTGCATTGGACAATGAGGATGAAGAACAGGAAGCTTCCCAGGAGGAGTCTGCTGGGTCTCTTGGAGAAAACCAAGGCAAATACGCATCCCTGCTGACTGTTGGGATAGAAAGTTTACCCAAGGAAAATTCCATGGAAGTTCCTGAGTGGCATAATAAAGGTGAACAGTGCTGTAAGATTGAGGCTCAGGAGCCAGAGCCTAAGTTTAATCTGATGCAGATTCTGCAAGACAATGGGAATCTAAGGTAGGTACCCTTTGTAATTCTAGTAGTAAAGTTGAGACTAGCTAACTTGTCCTGTGTGCCAGGTACTGTTTGAATGACTTACAGTCTTTTTCATGTAATATGCACAGAAGTTCTGTGACTAGTGACTGAAATTGGATGTTGCTATTGTTAAGAAAACCGAGGCTTTGAGAGTCCAAGTAACTTGTCCAGAGTAGACCACTGTCCAAACTCGGGTCTCATTGGCCTAAGAACACGTGGTAGGAGTTAGTTTCAGTCATTAGGAGCATAAAGTAAAGGAGACAAGAAGCTCGAACAGCTTGTCATTTATTGTGGGAGACCCTTAGCAAACTGGGGCATAGACCCCCATAAGAATAAAACGCTCTTAGAATACAGAAAAAGAGGATCTCACTTCAGAGCACTAGAGAGCCATTGTGGAAGCTCTTTGACCGAGGCCTCATCCGATGAGTAGGATCTCAGGAGACTTGGGGTGTCAGGTTTGTGTGGGGGATTAGTAAGTAGGTAGGTGGAATAAAGGAATGACAGTGGAAGCATGTATTAGTCCCTCAGCAAACATTTATTAAGAACTTGCCCTAGAATTACAGCAGGCCAAATTCTTGCCAAGAATTACAGCAGGCCAGATACCACTGTGGGGGCAGACCAGCTTGGCAGGGAAGACTGATAAGAAAGAACATGGTTTCAGGCGATGAGAAATGCAGTAAAACAAAGCAAAACGGTGTCCGGTTTAGGTGTAATGGAGGAGAGGATTCCCGAAGTTGTGGGGATCAGGCCTGAGCAGTTAATTTTGAGGTGGCTTCTGAAAGATGAGGGGTCACTCACGTGAATGCCAGGGTACAGAGCTCTCCAGGTGGAACAGTACGTACACAGGTCCTGAGACCAGAATGAGCTGGGCCTGTCCAAAATACAGACTAGAGAAGAAGAGTTAAGTGGGCAGAGGACGATGGTGAGAAATAAGACTAAAAACTGGGTGTTCCTAGATTGTAAAGGCTTTAAGGGGAGCCTGAAGAGTCGTTGTTTGGGTTTTGTTTTTCTCTTTTCTTTTTTCTTTTCCTGGACACTTCTTAAGCAGATATATGATAGAGTTAATTCTTGTTTTAGAAAGTAAATTTTGGTTGCATTGGGGGATAGTGCTTGACACAAGAAGCAACTAAAGGCCGAGAAGTGAGTTAGGCTCAGAATTGTTCAGAGCTAGGGATGTGTGTGGGTGTTGACAAGAACATGGTTAAGGCTGGGTGGCTCACCTGTAATCCCAACACTCGGGAGGCTGAGGCAGGAGGGTCGCTGTCAATTTGAGGCCAGCCTCAACTTCATAATGTCTCAACAAAACAAAACAAAACAAAACAACCACCATGGACAGTGGCTATAGGAATGGAGCAATTGAGATGGACTTAGAAACTTGGTGAAGACAGAGACTGTATGTTCCACATGTAGCAGTGGGGTAATGCTGTCAGTCAATCCAAGGAGTGTAGGAATTGTTTTTTTTGTTTGTTTGTTTGTTTTGTTTTGTTTTTGTCTTTTTCCTTTTTACCAGTACCAGGGATCGAACTCACGACTGCCTGCTTGCAAGGCAGGCGCTTATGCTGCTGAGCTAAATCCCCAGCCCCAGGAATTGTTTTATGATAGAAAGTACGAGTTACCTTTGAGACATGATGAGGAGGAAGTAAAACTACAGCTTTTGTGTCATGGTTAAACAGGATTACACAGTTAGTAGTTGCATCCTTCATTGTAGATGAGGTTATTGCTTCCGTTTAATTCAACAAGCATAAACAAGGAGAAAAAGAAGTGACTGGAGTCCCGGGAAAAACCACTGTTTAATGAGTAGGTCAGTAAAAAGACCTCGAAATAGCACATAGTGTAAGAATAAGGAGGAGCAGTGTCGTGAACGCTGCTAGGTGAGTGTTTCAAGTCTGTAGAGCATTGTAGATACGCAGGTTAGGGTAAGGAGTGAAAAACTTCTGGACTTGTAACCTAGGGCCGGCTGTGTGGGTGAAAGAACAATTGTGAGCTAGGAAATAAGCAAGTGTGAAGTAACTTTTTCAGGTTTTGGCAAGGAAAGGAAGATCTGAATTCATCAGAGAGAAAGCCAGCTAAGAGGAAGTGATTAAAAAAAAAAAGGCATTCTGGAACTTATTTATAGACTAAGGGAAGGATTTGATGGCCAGGGGATTAGAGACGCAGAAATGGGGATATTGGCCGAGACCGGCCCTGAAGGAAGGTGGAAAGAGGCCCAGGGGAGGGGTGTCTCTTCCTGTAAGAAACCGCGGACCAGGGTGAGTGCGGTAGGCAGGAGGTGAAGAGCGTGGGAGCTTAGGGATTTCTGCGCAGTGGCCTTTATTTTCTGAATCAGAGGCTGGCTGTTACACCAAGAGCTGGGTGTGTCGCTGGGACATGGGTCGAGAGTGCTTGGGTTTGGAACAGAGGCGCAGAGGATGAGACCAGTCCTGACTGTCAACGGACCTGAGCTCAGGCCCTTTTAGTGCTTTAGGCTGGTGGTGTGATTATAGGCAAGTTGAGCTTCGCTGGGTCTCAGTTTCCTTTCTGTCAAGCCAAAACACAGGGCTAGACCGGTTTTTCAAACTATTTTATGGAGGTGAAAAAGATTCCAGCAAATTGAAAATAGAATATTTGAAAACCACCAGTTTGTATTCTGAGTTCCTTTCCAGCAATAACATTCTCCTTAGCTGTGATGGAAATAAATTATTTTTCATACTTCTTAAGGATTTTACTGTCTGTGAGTAAACTGTTGTCATTGCAGGGTGTGTTAGTGAAAATCAGTGGGCTTCACATTGTTTCTTGAAGCTGTGCAGTGTCTATAGGGAATCCCTGTGCTGTGAGAGCCCTGGACAGAGACAAGGCAAGGGTTCGAGACTGCAGGCACAGCCTCCTTGTGGGTGTTGTGTGCAATCTGTTGGTTTTAAAAATAAGTTCATTGTGATGTAACCGTGAGTGTCCAGACTTTCAGTTTGCTGGGTCTCATTGAGTGGAAAGGTTATCTTGGGCCAAATAGAAAATAGCTAATATAGGTAACATATTTAGGTAAAAAAAACCTTCAGTTTGTTGTTGTTTTGAGGTAGAGTCTCTCACTGTATAGTTCAGATTGCCCCTAAACTCACTATGTAGCCCAGAGCTGCCTTGAATTCTTGATCCGTGTGCCTCAGCCTCCTGAGTGCTGAGATTACAGGCATGCACTACCATGCCTGCCTCAAAACATTTTTGTTACGTTTGTTTTGGTTTTGTTTCTGAAAAAAAGATGCCTGTAATTGCAGCAGTTAGGAAGCTGAGGTAAGAGAATGGTGAGGTTAGTGCCAGCCTGCACTGTATGAGACCCTATCAAAGGGGGAAAAAAGAAAAGAAAACAAGCAGCCTGTGGATAGCAGGTTGTATGTACTCGAAAATTCTAGTTTTCCTTTCATTTTTAGGGGGAGAGTTGTGCACTGTAGGTAACTACCTGAGAAACACCTTGGAGAGTCTCAGAATGAGCATCCAGGGATCTCTTCAGTCAGGTTTATAGAAGTGAAAACTCCATACTTTTACATTTGATTTGCAGCAAAACAGTGGCTGGAAATCTCAACTCAGGAGCAGTAATTCCTGTATCCAAAAATCCCTCACATTGCAGTATAAGATCCATGCAGTTGGATATTCTCCACGTTTGGAGCTATGTAACGTTAGCGTGCTATTTCCTGTTCATTATAGCGCACATAAATTTGTTGACCAAAGTGAAGGATTTTTAAAATTTATTTTGGGGCCAGGGATATAGCTCAGCGGCACAGCGCCTGCCTGGCACGTGTGAGTTCAATCTCCAGGGTCCAAAAAAAAAATTTTTTTTTTCTTTTTTCTTTTGACTTGAAAATCAGTTTGTGATGGTGAGGCTTGTGTAAACAGTGGAGGTGAGAGTAGTGTACGCACGCCTCAGATAAACAAAAATGTAATTGTCTTTGTTAACTTTTGGAATTATAATAAGTTCATATTGTGCTCCCCCAAGTAAACCATGTTAGTAAGAAAGATCTGGACTTATTTATAGTTCGTGTTCTGAAGCTATTATGCATGAAACTCAAGAGCCAGGGGCCTCCCTAACCTGACTCCACAACCCTTTACTCCTCCAGCACACAGAGAATCTAGAACTGGACTCTCAGGATTTCCAGTTTTCCCTGGACAAATCCTTTGTCCAAACCTTGGGGGAGCAGTAAGTAGAAGGCATTCAATGATTGCATGTGTGAAGATTGTAAACAAAGTTTGTGTTGGGCCCTAATCTTCACTGATGTAATTTTGGCTACAGTGTCAGAAGGCCGATCAGCTGAAGTAACCAAAGTCTTGCCTGAGAGAAAACAGATTTGCCACAATTAGCAGCTAAATCATCAACATCTCTCTGTCGTTCAGAAGATAGATTGATCAGATCTCCTTGCTTGCGAACTAGGCCACCAGGCAGAAGAGAGCTGCGTGCCTCAGTGATGTTGCTGCAGCGCGTCCCACCAGCCTAAAGACTCCTTTTCCCACTGAACATCTGGGCTTGTCCCAGCCAGTCTGTTCATCTCCGCCAAACTCTGCTGGACCTCATTCATTTGTTCTGGGCCCCAGCCACTCCTGCCTTGTAGTTGAGAAAAGCATGACCTTAAAATTTGGTCTCAAAAGCTCTTTTGTAGGATTTATCTATTTCCTGCTTTGGAGGTTTTTGCACGCTAGAAATATTAGTTGCCATAGCAAAACCAATACTTTCGTACTGTCTGATAAGTGTATCCTTTAAGGCCTTCAATGCACTCTCAGCATTGAGAAACCTCTCTCCTCAGCACTACAAAGGTTCTTGTGAAGACTCGGGCCTTCCGTCCATTCTCCCAAGAAGACTGTTAAAAGTTCAGAGAGATAACAAGATGGCTAGATAGCATGATGAGTTTCTGTTCTTACTCTTTTCCTGTCCTAATCCTGAGAAAATAAGTGGAACTCTCCATCTTTGATTCTTTCAATAAGAAAAAAAGAATTTTTAACCTCAAGTGCTACTTTGGAATGATTCTTTATTCAGCGAATATATGATTCCATAGCCATCCTATAGAAGAATCCTGAAAGGCCAGTTTGAGAAAGGCAGGTACACATTTGGTAGGCTAGCCATGCTGTCTCATAACGGTATGCTGTTTTGGATTTCTATAGCAAAGTGCAGGCCCGAATAGCATTCTCTGCCTATCTCCAGCATGTTCAGACGCGCCTGACGAAGGACGGTGGAGGTCAGACGTTCAGTGCCAGTTGGGCTGCCAAAGAGGATGAACAGATGGTGAGGCTCGTCTCATTGCAAACCTCTCACTTTTCCTTTTTCTCTCTTCGTCTCTCTCCTCTTTTCTAGTAAGAAGCAGAATATTCTTCTAGTAAAAGAATTACTGCATAGTAAAGTTTCTAGATTTCTCTTATTTTAATGTGCAAAGGAAATCTTTGATCTGGAGCCATCTTAGTTATACCACGAAAGGAGGGCATCCATTTATTTCACCCTGAAATGACAAGTGATTGCTCAGTGGGTGCTGAACCCTGTGCAAAGCCTTCCAGAAGAATAACAGCTCGCAGCCCTTTATTACTCCGCCTCACGTGTTATTAACTCTCTAAGGTCAGAACCACCATCCTCGTTTCACGGATGAAACAGAGATGGAGAGAAGCTAGTTCTGGTTTTCCACAAGTCGTGCGCGGTAAACTGGAACTTGAACCCGGATGTTGCAATTAAGTGTGACTTGTTCTTCCTTTGTTTCTGCATGGCACAGGTGTTTATTTTCTCTCCTGACAAATCACATTAGTGACAAATCACAATATATCAAGGGTTATATTGTGAAAAGTGCTGTGAGAAGGTGCTGACCTTCAAATAGCTAATGTGATTTGTCAGGAGAGAAAATAATACAATGCAGCGTAACACGTGTTATACTGTGAAATCCTCCAATTCCAATTTGCTTTCTTTAGTAGTGATAACTTTATAAAATTCTTACATTATTGGAGTCAAACTTGCATGATCATTTTGACCATCTATCAGTTATTTGTCAGAAGGCTTTTCTGCTTTGGATTGCAATAACAGAGATCTGCAAGCTTTTCAATAGGGTCCCAATTCATAGAAGAAATCAAAGCCTTTCATAGTCTCATAGAACACCATAGTCTCATAGTTTCATAGAACACCAAGGTTCTTCCACCAAAATGAGAGGGACCGTTAAGTCTGAGGCTACCACCTTTGTGCCACTCGGTGGTAGCCCTGCTCTCATTTTTTAGTGCCCAGCTCAAAAAGGCACATCTCTATACGAGGGAACTTAGAAAAGCATGTTGGTTATCCCAGAAAACAATTTATGAATTTAAAGTAGGCAATACAACTCAGAGATAAAACTTGGTGTGTTGTGAATAATCCTTTAGCCATCAGTGGAAAATGTTCGCTCTGCTCTTTCCAAGTGGAAAATTGAACTGCCTTCTTGAGAGTCAGTTTGTCTGCTCCACTCTGAAAAAATTATGTTTTAATATAGCAGCTTAAACCACTCAACAGTAAAGACAGCAGAATAAAACTAGGAAATCCAGCCCTGGTTATGAGGCCGTTCCCTTTATGCTGGAGTAAAGTGGCTCTAAAGGACAGTGAACCAAAATCAAATTCAAGGGAAAAAAATAGCTTAAAAGAGAATAACCACTGCAAATGCTAGCTTCGAATTTACACAGGATTCTTATAGGGCTCTTTGTAAGAATACATGGAAATGCAGAATGCAGAATTTTAATACCAGTTCTTTGACTTCCTTCTTGGAAATGTATCAGAGAGCAAACCGTGACCCAGTAGACGTGCTTGTGAGGAAGGCTGATATAGAATGCCCTTCCTGGTCTAAGTTGGAATTGGGGGTTCTTTATCTCATAACACCACAGAAGATCCCCAGATCTGTCATTTGAAAGTAATTGTGTTTATGGAACAACAATCTTTCAAAGGCCCTTAGTCTTATGAAATCTCTCTGAAGCATTTGTGATGCTTACAAATAACCTGATGGTATCTTTTTAAAAATTCTTTCCTTCCACATGAATGAGATGTATTGTTTTCTTTTCCTTAATGACTCCCCATTAAATGGTGCCCTCCTTGCCAACCCCTAACTCTAAAAGCATCTTTATCCTTGGGGAGGGGAAAAGGCCATTACCTTTGGAAATACTGAGACAGGCTTTTCTTTTCCATCATCATAAAATTCTTCTTCTTCTTCTTCTTTTTTTTTAATGTTATTTTACTATCAACACAGGGATTTGCTAAATCATTAAGTTGCCCAGGCTCAAACTTTCAGTCCTCTTACCTTAGTTTACCAGAGTCCTGGGATTACAGGCACATACCATTACATCTGGCCTTATCCATTGCTTTCAATCAGTAGTTTCTGCTGTTTACGTATATTCTTTATTGCCCACAAATTTCTTCGTGTCCTCCTTCTACTCTCTTTACTGAAAGTGTCCTCTTGAGATTATTTCTGAATGGCCAGATCCTGGGCCCACTCTTGCTAAGGGTCCTTTCCACTTCCAGCTTGTTGGAAGCCTTTGGCATGAATGGAATCCTTTTTTCCTTGGTCTCAGTGGCATTGTTTTTCTGGGGGATTTGTTTATACTTCTAGTATTTCCACTCTGCTTTTTCCTGGTCTGTCTCTCTATTGTTTATAAAGTGTGGTAAGGTGCTCCCTCTGCCTCAGGTCATACACCAGCAGGTGGTCAGGGCTGCAGGTGGTCCAGGTGCTGCAGAGAATATCTGTATGTACAGACATTCCTATATTCTTTTTCTGCCTTTTCATCTTTGATGATTTCATTGGCTGTTGGGCTTTTAGTTTCTACTGCCTGCCTTTGAATGCTCCCTTCGCTAAGTCACTGTAAATGATTATCTTTTAGAAGCCATCCCTGCTCTTTAAATGGTGGTGGTACCATTTGCATATGTAGCATGATAATTTTCTAACTATGGCCTTAGTACATAGTTACTTGCATATATATTTGGTTTTAATTTTTAAATGGTTTGTTTTTTGGTGGTCCTAGGGTCTGAACTCAGGACCTTGTGCATGCCAGGCAAGCACTCTGCCACTGAGCTACGTCCCCAGCCCCTTGTTTTAATTTTTAATTGCCATCTTGCCATTTTCCTAATTATCAGCTTTTGAGAATAAGAATCTTTTTTTTTTTTTTTTTTTTTTTTTATTCTGTATCCTTCTTCTACCTAACACATTTGTTCTGGGTTTTGTCAAAATATATAAATATCTCTTCTCATATCTCTGTAATCTCACCATAGTTTGTCTTCTGATAGTAACCATCATCCCTGTTTTCTGCCCTGTGTTACTCTTTATTTTATTATTTTATTATTATTATTTTTTTAAACTTTTTATCGGTACCAGGGATCGAACTCACGACCGCCTGCTTGCAAGGCAGGTGCTTATGCCGCTGAGCTAAATCCCCAGCCCCATGTTACTCTTTAATTTGCAGGAGCTGGTGGTTCGTTTCCTCAAAAGAGCATCAAGTAACCTCCAGCACTCACTGAGAATGGTGCTACCTAGTCGACGATTAGCTCTTCTAGAACGCAGGAGAATCCTCGCCCGCCAGCTGGGTGACTTTATCATTGTGTACAACAAGGTAAGTCCTTCATCCGGTTGTCTTGTGTGCTCAGCTCCACCACACTGTTGGAAATACAGTGACTGGCTCTGTTTAATTTCCTTTTGCTAGCAGTAGCATCTCTGCTGCATGTTGTTAAAGAGTGGGACCTCATACCTCAACCCATTGGACTGTAAACTACTCATTACTTCTGCAGGTCCAATTAACTGTTTTTGGTTTTCGTTTTCAAACAAGGTCTTGCTGTGTAGTACAGGCTGGCCTTGATTTCAAATTCATGGCGATCCTCCTGTCTCTGCCTCCTTCTGGCTCATAGTTAGCTCTTATCGAAAGAAATAGTATTCCTTTGGAGCTCCTGGCCTATGTCCATCTCTGTTGTTATATCTGTAGACAGTGGCGAGGTGACCATTTGAGAGCAATCTGAACTGTGAATTGACTGTGGTGACATAATCTTTTTTCAGTGACTTACACTTTCTTTTCTGAAACATTTTGTACAGAAATGTCATTTTACAATCAAGCCCAGGAAATATACTATTTAATTAAAGTTTCTGCAGAGTATCTTGTATCCAAGAGTCTCAGAGTACATTGAAAATATTATTTTGGGAGGTGAAAAGTATGCTTAGTTTGCAGTAGAAAAAGCTGAGGCCTGGAAATTTAAATGACTTGCACAAGTTGTACAGAGTGTTTGGTAGAATACCAACACATCAGACCCATACCTATGGTTTACTCCAGATCTGTTGAGAATTCGGTTAGGTCTTACATAAGTAAGAATTTATTCCGTTTAGAAGCTGGTAAGAGAAAATTTTTCAAGACCTTTTTCTTCTTCTAAATGCAACAAAACACTGTGTGACTATTAAAGCTGCATGTGTGATTACAGTTGTTACTAAGCTACTTGCTATAAAAATCTGTTTTCTCAGTGGGCTATGCAAGTAAAAAGTAAAAACATGATAAAAATTTACACTTACTCTGCAACTGTTACTTGGGAATTTCAAAACATCTCACAAAATTATGACCAGAAATCATATAAAGTTTATAGGTGGCAAAAGTACATGGAATAATTAAATGTCATCACAACAAGGACCACTTAATTAATGCTACAGTAGTGGAAATGTATTAGAAAGTGTACATTTATCAGGAGCCAGTTTCATCTTGTTTTTCTCTGGGGTTGGGCTTTGCATAGGAAACAGAACAAATGGCTGAAAAGAAATCCAAGAAGAAACTTGAAGAGGAAGAAGAAGACGGGGTGAATACAGAAAACTTTCAGAGGTTCATCAGACAAGCAAGGTAGAAGACACTCTTGGTCAATAGAAACCATCTGATTCTGTGTTCCACACTGCTCATTGAATACCCAGCTTCCCTTGTTTTCGACATGAGTATGAATGAAATTATTCTCAAAAGGAGAAAAAACTCTCACAGGCTTGGCCTTTGCATATCTCAGCCAATTTTGTTGCTGTTGTCATGGCTTCATTTATCAAAACACTGCTTCTGGGTGTCGGCCGTAGTTCTAGACAGCCTTTAAGTATACAACACTCGAAGGACTGAGAGAGTCTTTGGAAATTTAAAGTTAGAAGCTTCTAGTGTTTACTGGATCTGAATTTATTCCTGACCTACTGATGCTGTGGAGATGACCACATTTTGCCTACATTGAGTGGGCTGAGGAATTGGCAGTCTCTCAACACTGTGAGGGTTACGCCTCATTTATATAAAATAGAACAAGTTCTTCATCCTTAGGGTTAGCGTTTAGGAATTGGAAATCTCAGCATTCAGGTGCCTATCTTGATGCAAGATGGCTCAGTCATTTTATCCATTGATGTATTTCCACAGGAAAAGAGAGCAAAGGCACTTAACTTAAAATTTTGTTGAATTTTATACTGGTGGACCTTTTTAAATTAGAAGGTTCTATAAAATTTCTAAAATTATAAAGAAAGATAAAGCAACTGTTAACCCCATCAGGTTTTAGTCATGAAATTCACAGAGAGAAAAATCAAGTATTATTGTGAAGTTAAATAAGGTGATGGTTTATTAATGTGTTGTAATATGATAATTGTTTAACATCTTGTACAAACTGTGCTATAGCCTTAATATCATGTTCTTAAACATGCAGCAAGCAAATACATCATTTTGCAGAATTTCTGTAATTGTATAGTGCTATTTTCTTGACATTTTTGTGTTAAATAACATGGCTGATAAAGCAAGTATAAAAACAGAGCAAGAAACAATTTCTCACATCAACATTATAAAATTAAAAAGGGAAAACAAAACTAGATTATGTCCAGAAAATAGCTCTAATTTCTGGTTCCTCCTAGAGATTTTCAAAAAGCCATTAAAAGAAAAACTTCTAAAAAGTGATGTTTATCTAGCTAGCTAGCTTAACTGGACATTAAAAATTAATCCTATACACTGTGTCAACTGTTAACTAATAAAGATTTAGAGATAAAATTTATTGGATTGCATTAACTGTTGACTATGGATTTAGCGGTGACTGCTGAGGAACATTTGGTAGTATCAGTTCTTCGTGTATCAAGTTAGGGCAAGGACATGGATACCTTCGTCAGGGCTGGCAAATTCAAATGGCTGCAGGAGCCAGGCAGGAAGCCATCAATGACAAGTGGGCAGAGGATAAGCCAGGTACAGAGCAGTCTGCATTTTGACCAATTGTATCCTTTGCCTTTCAGCCAAATAAGACACAGTGCTAGGCAGAGGCGGCTGCCCCTTTTGCAGCCACTGTGAATTTCATGACTAAAACCTGATGGGGTTAACAGTTGCTTTATCCTTCTTTATAATTTTAGAAATTTTATAGAACCTTCTAATTACATGTGTGGTACTTAAAGTTCTTACCTTGTGTCACTTAGCTGCTTTCGAGACCTTGGGGTTCACAGAGGTGGTTTCAGAGGTTCTCATTAGTGTGTGTTCTGAGGATGGATGTAGGTTCTTTACAATAATGTATATGTGCTGCCCTTATTTGAAGGTCACCTGTTTGAAACATGGCCAGGCTTCAAGCAAAAGAGAAGAAAAAAGCCATAAAAAAGCAGATACAATGTAACGGGATCCATGCATGATGTGTATCTGGAGGGATTCCTTAGGCTCTCATCTGTTTCATGTAGTTTCCATTTTGTAAATGTTCCTAAATACCACATAATTTCAGTAACATGAAGGGCCTCAGAGACCATTACTTTTATCTCCTAGATGGATCGGAAACTCTTCGGTGGTCACACTGATGGGTCTCTTATTTCTGAAGTGGGCAATGGAAATGACAAGTGACTTCTTTTTTTTTTTTTCCTTTTTATCAGTACCGGGGATTGAACTCATGACCACCTGCTTGCAAGGCAGGTGCTTATGCCGCTGAGCTAAATCCCCAGCCCGACAAGTGACTTCTTTAATAAAAGACTTAGTTGTCTAGAGCTCTAGTGTAGGTAGGCAAACTGGAAAGGAGCAGATAATAAATAATCAGACCCTGTGGACTGTGCATAGTCTTTTCCACCTAGTTTTTGCAGTATGTGTCAAATTCTTAGCTGGGTATGATACACCACTATTCAGGTTTGGCCACAGTCAATAGTTTGGTGGCTCAACCAAGAGTGTGGCTGTTCAGAACTTTCTGTGAGTGACTACTGAGCACTTAAAATGGTCTGAGGAAAATAATCTTCCATTTTATTTAATTTTACTATTTAGATTTTTGAATAGTCTCTTATGACTGGGCAGCACAGATCTAGAACATTCCCCATCAGGGGGATAAAACCTTACCATGCGTTACCTTTTCTAGCCTGCTTTCATTTATATTTTCTTTGCGGCAGTCTATTAATGAAGAGTGCCTTACAGTTTTCCATTTTCTCACTTTGTTTCCATAATAAAACCTAGCGAAAGATTTTCCAGAACAGCTTCTTGTGCTGACCATAGTTTTTCTCCTCGTTTCAGTGAAGCTGAACTGGAGGAAGTATTGACTTTTTATACTCAAAAAAACAAGTCTGCGAGTGTCTTCTTGGGGACTCACTCTAAAAGTTCCAAGCACAGCCATACTTTTTCTGATAATGGGGCAAAAGGTGGTAAGTATGCCAATCCATTAGTGAAAAAATGAGAAGTCCAGAGAAGAGAAGAATAATGTGCTGAGCCGGACGTGATGGTGCACTGTTGTAAATCAGCACTTGGGAGACCGAGGCAGGAAGATTACCATGAATTCCAGGCCAGTCTGGACTGCATAAATGAGTTCGAGGCCTGCCTGCAGTAGTGCATGGCAAAATCCTGCCTCAAAACAAAACAAAACAATAATGTGCTAGCTGAGTACTGGTAGTCTCCAAAGTGATGAAACTTCACAGTGGGGCTGGGGAGGAAATGACAATAGGACCTTTTTGTCCTGAGAACAGAAGAGGGGCATGTTCTTTTTCTTCCATGACAGTTAACAACAGAGAGCTATCCATGAAAAGCTATGAATAGCTACCATTTAGTGAACACTTACTATCTGCTGGGCACAATCTTACTTTATACATCCAAAAAATAGTAGATACTGTTTTAAAACTTCTTTGTAGACGCGAAATTAAGTAACTAAATGAACCAAGTAGCTTGCATAGGGTCAGTCTTCATCAAGGTCACTCTTGAACAAGCATGCCACCTTCATCCCCTTCATGATTCAAAGTTTGTGCTCTTAATCTGTACTCTTCTGCCTCTCCTAATGACTGTTTCTCACTCTTAACAAGCAAGACCTCTTAAGTCCTTTGACATTTTGAGTAGTTGTGTTCTTTGTTAGGTGGAACTGTTGTGAACTTGCTGGGATGTCGCATATGCTTGGTACCAAGACCCAAATGCCATTGCTTCCTCCAGGCATGGGATATCCAGAATGTTCCCATGTATTTCTGAAGTCCTCATGTCTAGGGATGAGAGATTTTGGAATTGAATGTGAACCAACTAAAACTACAACTTCAGGTCGTCGTGATCAAAAAACAGCAGTAACATTTGTTATAAATAAAGCTCAATGTTTTAAATGTAAGATTCACTTAAAACCTAGGACAAAGTGTAAGATATGGGTAGTAACAGCATACTAGTTTTGTCAGTGTTTTAAATACTAAATGCAAAGATGGAAACTTCTTCCCTGCTATTAACACTCTCCCAGCCTGAATAGGAATCTCCAGTCTATTGTAATCTAATATGGAAATAGGTGAGGGAATTGGTCATTTGAAATGTGGAATGCATTTTTCCCAAAGAAACAGTGTTAATTTTTTGTTCATTTATTTGTATTTTGTTGTTTTGCAGTGCTGGGAATTGAACCACAGGCCTCACACATGCTAGACAAGCATTCTGCTGAGCTGTACCCCCAGTCCAGTGTTTCAGAACTGATTTGGTTCATGGGCTAATTGATAAAAGCCTGTTTAACTCACTGTATAATTGCATTGCTGTTTTACTAGCAGTCTTTCTAAAGACTGCTAAAGACCAGCCTTATTCTTTGAGCTTTCCTCATCATATTATTCATTCATTCCAACTATACATTTTTACTGAGTACCTATTACGTTAGCCATCTTGTTAATTGCTAACAATACAGTGACCAGACATCATAGCCATTTATAAAATTTATTATCCAAGGAATGGAGTTGGGTAGGTGTCTTATTTACCTTTCCCATTGCTGGAACAAAAAACCTAATACCATCAAAAGGGGAAAGGTTTAATTAGGTCACAGTTTGTAGAGGTTTTAGTCCATAATTGGCTCAGTCGAAAGCGGGGTGCTTTAGCAGACAGGCATCACAGAAGAGAAGCAGTTTATGGGGCTGGGGATTTAGCTCAGCGACATAAACGCCTGCCTTGCAAGCAGGCGGTTGTGACTTCGATCCCTGGTACCAATTAAAAACGAAGAAGAGAAACAGTTCACAAAGGCAGAAGACAGCAAAAGCAAGCAAGAAAAAGGAGAGATGGGGAGACAAGCCTCTTCCTGTCCCTTATATTGCATCCAGTCTACCAGAATTAGGGCATTGCTAATCTTGCAAGTGTACTGATCTAGCAGTCCCGCACCCTTAATCCCAGCATTGTACCTTGAATCAGAGACATGCTCTAGATTCAGTTACCTTCAAAAAAGCCCCATCTAAAACTGCATGAGGCTCCCTGCACATCCCTGCACAAACCATAATACTAAGTGATTGCAAGAAGGTTGGTGGAAACTCTGTAAAGCTCCTCGAACACTGTGGGGAAGGGAGGCTGACAGATTCTTCCAGTGAGATTAGGATGGAGAAGTGTCCTCTGACTTGGGAGGTACGACCCCTGGGGGCATTCACATAGTGACTACTGCCCTGGTCAAACTAGGGAAGCCCTGACAGTGTGCACAGTAGCACCTGTTCACACACACGGGCCATTTGAAATTCTAGGGTTTGTGTATTAAGTAGAAGAAATGCCTCGAAGAAACAGCATTTGATAGTGTAGTATTTGGACTCATTTCAAGCATGTACAAATGATTGCTGTGACTAGTGGTGATAGATAGGACAAAATACACATATTTGTATTCTTTGACTCTGAAAGATGATATATAAAATGGCCTGTTTGTGTATGAATCTCCTCCTTGACAATGATTTTGAAGTATTTTCCTAAGTTTATGATTACTTCTGGCTGGGCTGCTCTGTCTGAAAAGTCCATAGTAGAGAAAATGTAATTTATTAGAGTGATTTGGTACTGACTATACTATCTGAAGTAAACAGGAGGTATTTACTCCACAATACAGAGCTATTATAGTACCCAGGTATTATGCCAACAAATTATGGGTTTGCTTTTTGTGTCTGCTGTGCTACATACGTATTATGACTTCTTGGCTCCGTGGGCACTATTAGCTGAATGGATCTCCTGCACCTCTCAGTCTAAATTCCTGGCAAAAGCATCTGACTGCCTTTACTCCCTTTTCCAGACGCGTCCTAGCTTGCTGGAGGCCCATGAATGGCTGCCCTCAGTTTAGGTATCTTTCTCTAGCTCAGTTTTTCCCAACAGGGTTGGGAATAGCTGGGAATCAGTTTTCTTTTTTTTTCTTTAACCTCTTTTTTCTTTGTTACTGTATTTTTTTAGTACACAATAAATAGATTCATTATGGGCAACTGGTACAAATACATAGCACATGTCGATGTTTTTTGCAGCACTGGGAATTGAGCCCCGGGCCTTCACTTAGAGCTACATGCCCAGCCCTTTTTTGGGGGCAGGATGGGGACAATGTCTTAGTAGTAAGTTGCTATGTTGCTCAGATTAGGCTCAAATTCGTGATCATTCTGCCTCAGCCTCCCAGTGTGCTGGGAACACAGGCTTGCACCACCACACCAGGCTACATTTTGTTTGTTCTCTGTTTGTAACCTACCTTCCATTTGGTTGCCTTTTCAGCGGGCTGTGGGTATGGCCATCATGGGAGAATTGTGGTGAGATAGTTTGGTGTTTCACAGCATTGATTAGTACCTGCGTTACATTTTTGGAAGCCCAGTTAAAAGTTTGAGTAGAAAAGAGCCTAAGTTTAGTATTTCTTATTTCAGATCACCCTGAGACGATGCAAGAAGCGAAAATAAAGCAACCCAGACAGCAACAGGCAACAGAAATTCACTCTGATAAATTATCTCGTGAGTGATTTCAAGCTTAGATTTGCTACTCTGAGACAAATCTTAAAAGAAAGCACTAGCTATCAGATAGTAAATATTTCTAAAACGTAGAACATTTCCCTAATGAAGTTCTTTTTCTTTGTTCTTTCTCTTCCCTGAGAACTTCCTCTTAACTACTCATTACCTACTTTCCTTGCAAAGGCTTCTTCCATTCTCTTGGGAAATTCCTTTCTTTTTTCTTAGAAGGGTGAAAAGGAGAGGGACCGGAACTAACTGTTGCTCACAGAAGCAGGTCCTGCTGTCCTAGAACATCTGTAAAACATGTCCGCTTGGCTGCATTGGGCTTGCCCCACCTCCGACTCTGAGAACTAAAAATAGGCTTCTGTGGGCAGGTTGTCTCCAGTAGGCAAAATTGGTTAAGTTTACATGATTTCTAGGTCATGATAAGGTTATGTTGGTGCTTTAAAAAATATTTATGTTTTAGAGATTATATGTCCATTTTTCCCAAAGTGATCTGTTTTTGTTTTGTTTTGTTCTTGTTTTAATAGGATATACCACCTCAGCAGAAAAAGAGGCTAAATTAGTCTATACCAATTGTTCCTCTGCTTCTTTCTCTGCTCCTGCTGCTCCTCTTCCGCCGAAAATTCCCAACACCCATTTGTCATCTGTTACAACCTCTGCCCTCTCGCCAGGGCTTGGCCACCATTCTTCCTTTTGTCAGACTCCTCCAACTGTTCCCAGCATGCCTCACCAGCCAGCAGTTTTACTGAGCCCTATCCCTGATCACGCTGCTCCTGCGACCCAGAACATACCAAGCCCCGCTGGCCCGCCACGCTGTCGATCAGGCAGTTACACCATTGGCCCCTTCTCCTCCTTCCAAAGTGCTGCACACATCTATAGCCAGAAACTGTCTCGTCCCTCTTCAGCAAAGGCAGGTGAGTGAGAAAACACAAGGCAGCCCACCACGTTCTGCCTCAGTGAAGAAAAAAATGCCCCCTTTCCTTTGCCTTTTCTTTTGGGAGAAAAGAGACACACTGCATTGTTGTGCTGTGACTAGAGAAGGATCTTGCATTGTGACCAGTAGCATTTGTTCATTGAGGCGCTGATGCAGGATTAAAGCAAGGCTTCTGTTCAGTAGATGCTGGTAGCCAGGAGGTTTCCCACACAGATAACCCCAGAGCTTCATGCATTCTTTTTGATTCAAGTAGGTACTCTGATGTTACGCAAATTAGTCTTTTCTGTTTTTCAGTGCATGTAATGTCAGGAGTGACCTAAATAATTCTTTTTCTTTTTGTCTTTTTTTTTTTTTTTTTCTTTTTATCGGTACCGGGGATCGAACTCACGACCGCCTGCTTGCAAGGCAGGTGCTTATGCCGCTGAGCTAAATCCCCAGCCCCGACCTAAATAATTCTTAAAACAGGGTATTTTAAGCCAGAGTTGATGGCTCACGCCTGTAATCCCAGCACTCGGGAGGCTGAGGTGGGAGGATCGTTGTGATTTTGAGACCAGCCCTGGGCTCGAGGCCAGCCTGAACTGCTGCACAGTGAGACCCTGTCTCAAAAAAGACCAAAAACCAGGATATTTTCATATGAAATAAATTCACATTATCAGTCAGCCCCCCCCCATTTGTTTGTTTGTTTGTTAATTTGTGTGGGGGTTTTTTTGTCTTTTTCTTTTTTATCAGTACCTGGGATCGAACTCACGACTGCCTGCTTGCAAGGCAGGCGCTTATGCCGCTGAGCTAAATCCCCAGCCCCTGTTCATTTGTTTATTTGGTTTTGCTTTGATTTTAGTGCTGGATCTGGCACGTGCTACAAGTGCTATACCATTGAGTTATTATCTCCAGCACCTTTCCTTATTAATAACAGTTTTATTGAGATACAATTCATGTTAATAAAATTTTCCCCTTTAAAGTATACAATTTTTGGTTTAAATATGTTTACAGAGTTGTACAAACAATGCCACAGTTTCATCATTCCTGTGAGAAACCTGTATCTATTAGCAGTCCCCATCTGTTTCGTCCTCCTATTAGGCCCTGGATATCAGTGATCTACTTTCTGTTCCTACAAATTTGTCTCTTCTGGACATTTCATGGAAGAACCAGCATGCTGCAGGTGGTCTCTGTGGCCTGCCTCTTTCACTTCACATCATGTTTTGGTGCTTCATTCATACCGTATCATGTTATACACTTCATTCATTTTATGACTAAGTAATGTACTATTTTATCATCAGTAATACAGGAGGGTTACAGTGGCTGACATTTAATGTCTTCTTGATTTCATCTATCATAGAGGGTGTAAGTTAGTGCATTTGTGTTTTTGTGTGTGGATTTGTATTTCCCTGATAGCTCTTGATGTTGAGCATCATTTCATGTGGTGTTTTTTGTTTGTTTGTTTGTTTGTTTGTTTGTTGTGTGTTTAGTCAAGGCCTTGCTATGTAGTTCAGGCAGGCCTTGAACTCACTATGTAGCCCAAGCTGGGCTGGCTCAAACTCATGGCCATCCTCTGGCTTAGCCTCCCAAGTGTGCTGAGACTGCAGGCATATTGCCACCACCACTGGTTCATGTGCAACATGTTTACTGTTTGTACATATTCTTGGAGAAATGTCTGTTCAGATTCTGAGATTTTTGTCTTTTTGTTGAATTATGTATTTTTTTATATATTCTATATACAAGACCTTTGTCAGATTTATGACTTAAAAATGTTTTCTCCCAATTTATTGGTTGTCTCTTCACTTTCTTAAATCATAGAAGTTTTAAAAGATATTTTTTCTTGTGTTTTGGTATCATAGCTGAAAAAAAATTATCTAACTCAAGGTCACAAAGATTTCCTTGTAAGTTTTTTATGAGAGTTTTATAGTTTAGGCATGTACATTTTGGTCTTTATCCATTTTTAGTTTATTTTTATGATGTGATGTAGGGGGTCCAAATTCATTTGCAGGTGACTATCCATTTGTCCCAGCACATTTGTTGTAAAGGGTATTGTTTTCTCAACTTCTTGGCATTCTTAGAATCAATTAACCAATTATTTCTGGAGTCTCAGTTTTATTCCCATTTATCTGTATGCCTGTCCTTATGCCAGTATTGTATCGTCTTGCCAGAACTACATTATATTACAGTGCTGTTATATAAAATGTTTTGAAATTTTCATGGATGATTCTTGCAACTTCATTCTTCTTTGTCAAGATTATTTAGGCTATTTTGGGTTTCTTGGATTTTTTTTTATATGAACTGTAGGGTTCGTCAATTTCTGCAAAAATAATCAAAGGAGATTTTGAAGATTGCATTGAATCTGTAGATCTCTTTATCTAACACTGGTCAAATTTTTAAGCACTTTAGGAGTAAACACATTAAAGTGAATTACAGCTAAGCCATGTTTTATAAATAGCTATCTATACTTGTTAATCATTGCCTGATTTCAAATGGCGTGGATATTGTAATACAAAACTTGAATCAGAGATAGTAAATGGCCTAAGTTAATATGAATATATGCATATATGTTTCTGGCCTAATTTGGGGGAATAGTTACTGAGAGTCAAACATAAATGGGTGGAATTTAACTAGGTAGGAGACAGTTTCAAGTTTTGAAAAAACAACCGTGTGCTATTTACAGGAAGTATACCTAAGGATAAAGGGCATAGAACATTGAAAATAAAAGAATAAAGAAAGAAATATCAGGTAAATCCCAGCCAGAAGAAAGGTGGTACAGCTACAGCTAAACTCACAGCAGTTCTGTCTCAGCCTCCCAAGTGCTGGGATTACAGGTGTGCACCACTGTACCTGGCCAAAAATACAAAGTTTCTGATCAAAATAAAAGCCAGCCAAATCTGACAGCATTTTTAAAAGACAGTATATCTTAAGCAGGTTTCCATAGATGCAGAAAGATTTGACAAAATTCTACCTTCATTCATGATAATAACTCAGTATTCTGAGAAAGAAACCATGTAAAGCTGAAAAAGAGTATCTACCCAAAACTTACAGGAGCCCAATAGGAGAATTGTTGACAGTGTTCCTTTTCATGTTAAGAACAAGATAAGGATGTACTCATTAATTAATGTTCCTTCTGTTCATCATTTTACAGGTAAGAGTTAGCATGATAAGAAAAAGAAATTACAATCTTAGGATCAAAAAAGAAAATAAAATGTATTTGTAGATAATATGCCGTTTTTGTAGATGGCCATAAAGATTAGTATTAATCATCAGAAGCCTTTTATTAGCTATGAATTTAAATATATATATATTATAAAGCATTATTTTAACTTTTAAAATTTTAACTATTTTTTACGGTTTAAGTTTTGTTGCAATAAAACTATAATCTGCCTACAGAAAAATTTAGAAAGTCTTTTTTTTTGCAGCACTACAGGCCAAACTCACAGGCACCTTACCTTAGGCCACTTTTTTTTATTTGTTGGTCTTGGGCCACTTGTTTTGTTGGTCTTGCTGAATTTCCCAGGCTGGCCTCAGATTTGTAATTTTCCTGTCTCAGCCTCCCTGGTAACTGGGATTACAAGCATGCACCACTGTGCCTGGGTTAGCAGAAACTTTTTTTTTTGTCTTTTTGAGATGGGGGTCTTGCTATGTAGTTCAGGCCGGCCTTGAACTCACTTTGTATCCCAGGCTAGTCTTGAACTTACAACAATCCTCCTGCCTCAGCCTCCCGAGTGTTGGGATTATAGGCATGAGCCACCACGCCCGGCATTAACAGAAACTTTTAAAATGAATTTTTGTAAAACTTTGTTGAAAGACATTGGAGAAAACCTAAATAAGTGGACAAATATACCATGTACATGGATAGGAAGATTTAGTATCCTAAGTGTTTCATTTCTCATCATTTGATCTCTGGGTTCAATATATTTCCAGTCAAAAATCTCAACATGTTTATTATTGAACTCAATAAGTCTACTCTAAAATGATTATGGGCAAAAATACCAAAATTAGTGAGAACTTCTCAAAGACAAACGTAGGGAGTGGAGCACCTCATTAAGACTTAGCATGAAGGCATGGTAATTAAGACAGTGTGATACTGTCAAAAGTACAGACCCATATAGACCAATAGACCAGAGTGTGAATTTAGGACTAACCATACAGATAGGTGGAGCTTCGATATATGATACAGTCAGCGTTGTAGATCGTTGGCAAAGCAAGACTTTCTCAATGAATAGTGCTGGGGAAAAGTGAAATTAGATTCCTGCCCCATATGATACATAAAAATCAATTTCAATTGCAAAAATGAAAACTTTTAGAATAAAGGAGACTATTTTAAAGATCTTGTGGTATGGAATAAAAGCTTAAGTCCAAATGAAATAAATAGAAAAAAGACAATAGAAAAATAAAGAATATCAGAAAAGGGATAATATGCTCAATATCATTATTAATCTGGTGACTATAAATAAAAACCAATGATATTTTTCAGTTTCTTAGAGAAAGAATTAGAGTGTTTGACAGTACTAAGTGTTAAAGAGTGCATAGGTCAGCAAGAACTCTTATTTTACTTGTGGGAGTGTAAATAGCACCTCTCTGATATTATTGAATAAGACTGAAAATTTACTTTACCCTGTGACTAACAGTTCCACTCCGGAGCAGAGACCCAAGCAAAGCTCTGCACATGCACCGGCAGATGCATGGCAGAGTGTGGCTGCTGCATTTTCTAATAACAGCAGTAAACTCAAAGCAGCCGAAGTACCCATTGATGGAGGAATGGAAAAAATAAGTTGTGAAGTACATGATAAAATGGAGTATCAGACAGCAAATAAAACACACGAATTTCAGCTATGCTTAGCAAGGTGAATCTTGGCAATATAGTGTTGAGAGTGAAAGCAAGTCCCAGGACACTACTGCAGTAGAATACCGTTTTTACAGAGCTCAAAAGTAACCAGTATTGTGCAGTGTTTTGTTCATGTAGACATACAGTCAGACACATAACTGTATCAGATAAAACTATGTTCAAAACGATTTTACAAGAGGAAGTGAATGAATAACAAGGAGAGATTACAGATGGGGAGAAACACATGAGCCAATTACTGGTAAGACACTGATGTTTTGTGTGTGTCCAATAATATAGTAAATCTGCAAAACGTTTCACAGTATTGCCAGATTGTGTATACAGAATGATTATGATTATATCTGCATTAACAAATGGACAGAAGGGCCAAGGGTATATCTCACTGGTTGATAGAGTGTGTGCTTTGCAGGCTCAGGGCCCTGGGTTCAATTCCTTGTAACACAAAAATAGACACAGACGGACAGGCGAGCAATACATTACAGTGTTTCTACTTTTCTGGGTTTTAAAAACTTTTTCAATGAGATGTAGGACTTTTAGAATCAAAAAGTACAAGCCTTGATTTTATATTAAATAATTTTCTCTTTACCAGGACGCCACTACTCAGGATAATCCAACTATGATAAAATAGTTGTGAAGATGATGTAAATCGTTGTTATTTTTTTCTAAGTACTCTTTTTCTTGTATCCTGTTTCCCTTTTGAGTCTTTTAAGTAGTGTTGTGGATGGTTTGACTGTGGATTCCACAGACTACTGAAAGGCATAATTACTTAATAAGAAAGCCAAACAAATGATAGGAATTTCAGAGACTTTGTGTGGTTTGTTTGTTTGGCAGCAGTGGAGATCAAACCTAGGGTCTTGTGCATGGGAGGCAAATGCTCCACTCTCCACCCCTGGGCTGTACACCCAGCCCAACATGGTTTCTTTTTTTCCTCTTATCTGAGGAGTAAATTCTATGATTGTCTGTATTCCACTATCTATGTTGAAAATTGTATTTTCAGTATTTTTATTTTGTTTTGTTTTGCAATACTGGAGATTGAACCCAAGGCCTTCACACTAAGCAATAACTCCCCACTCTTTTTATTTAAATTTTGAGAATGGTGGAGTTCAAGCTTCCCGCCTTAGAATTACCACCATGTCCAGCTGAAAATTCTTTGCAAAGCTTTCATAGTAAGCAAAACCTTACCAATAAATGCATGTTGCAGTTTGGTTCTTGGAAGAATTTTTAGGAAATAAAAGGTGTTATTGTCATTTTTGTAACTATTTGAGGTTACTACTCCTTATCTTGTTGAAGAACCCTAGGATTCAGTAAAGTATCTATTGGTCTAGTCTTTTTCTGTTATTGTCCTGATTTTTTCAGGGCGTTTATTCTAAGTGAACGCAAATAACTGTTTTTCAGTAGGTTCATGCCACCCAAGCAAGCATCATTCAGGAGGAAGCAAAGCACAAAGAGAGGGAGAAGATGGTTCTGCATACAGCAAACGGTACAACCAAAGTATGGTCACGGCTGAACTTCAGCGGCTCGCTGAGAAGCAGGCAGCACGGCAGTACTCCCCAGCCAGCCACATCAGTCTCCTCACCCAGCAGGTACACACCCGGACCGAGCACAGGACTACGGGGCACACTCTTCTCCCTCACTTTACCATTGCTGTAAGCTGTTGCATCTTGAATGAGTACTGGTTGGTATAAATGTAAAGAATCAAAATATTTCTCCTCAGTCATAAGAAAATGACTTTCTGTTGCAGGTATTGTGAGGTTAAGTCTGCTACTAGCAATTATGTATCTATTTCATGGGTAAATATACGTGTTCAGCTTTAAATATAATTATAAAGGATCTTTAAAAATGGTTTCTTTCTTTGGTAAAAATTTCTAAGGGCCAGGGATTTAGCTCAGTGGCATAAGCACCTGCCTGGTAAGCGCAAGGTTGTGAGTTATCCCCAGTACCAAAAAAAAGAATTTCCAGTGAGTTATGGTTTTATAAATCTTTTTATCAGAATGTCAGTAACATAAACTTTGCTTTTTCTTTTTTTTTTTTTTTCCTGCTTTACTGCTCTTTATTTCATGACCTGAGAATGTTTTGTGGCTACTAATGAAAAAGTATAGCCTTACCAATCTTCTTTTCTTTTTTTTTTTTTTTTTTTTTTTTGTCTTTTTCGTTTTTATCAGTACCAGGAATCGAACTCACGACTGCCTGCTTGCAAGGCAGGTGCTGATGCCGCTGAGCTAACTCCCCGGCCCGTCTGGTTTTTTTTTTTTTTTTTGGAAAATCACGTTTTCTTTTTTTTTTATCAGTACCAGGGATCAAACTCATGACCACACACTTACAAGGAAGGCGCTTATGCCGCTGAGCTAAATCCTCAGCCCCTAATCTTCTTTTCATTTTAAAGTTGGGGGAAACTGAGGCTGAAAGACATGATATGGTCTAGATTATTCGGTAAGCTGAATGGATAGGAATAGATAGCAGGATGTTGACTGTATATATGAAGTTTTATGTGAATGACCATCGCATTTATAAGTTTATAGCACAATGAAATTAGCTGACACTTTCAACAACTTTGTGATTTCTAGTCTTTTTTTTCTAGTTATTCTCGTGATGTTTAATTGCAAGTAGAAGTCTTATTTCCTCTTCTTCCATAATGCTAACTAGCATCAAAGTCCTCCCAAGAGTGTAAATGCCACTATATCTTTGGCGTCAAATTCTTTAATTGGTGGTAACTCAGTAATATTAATCAAGTCTATAAAAAAATGAAGCTGAAAATTATCTCGAGTACATACTAAAAGTAGGCAACACAGTGCTCCCTGGTGGTACCCTAGTTCTCTAAAAACTTAAGGACCAGAACTAAAGGTAAGCCTGGCATGGACTTAGCTCCACTTCAGCTTCAATCCCACGTGTGAGGCAATAATCATTTTCTTTTTCAAACCCTTAGCCATTTGAAGCAAATAGATGATGGGGCGGCATAATGGGAAATAAGAAGCAAAGAAACTTACAAGGGAGTTGGATAGTTCATTTTAGTGACAGAATGATGGAGAAAATAGACTGTCAGGACCATGGCAGGAGAAGGGACTGTGGAATACAAAATGGCTCTGAGAAAGGGTAAAGGCCAGTGGTAGGGTACACTTTTATAACTGGGTTGCTTCTAGTTTGGAAGTTAGGAGCTGAAAGTACCAAGACAATAAGACATTTTTTTTTTCTACGTGTGATCCTAGCAAAAAAAATTGCCAATACTGCATGTATATTTTCAATTACTATCACTTACTGTACTGCAAAATGATAATACGTGGGCTGGGAATTTAGCTCAGCGGCATAAGCGCCTGCCTTGCAAGCACGTGGTCATGAGTTCGATCCCTGGTACTGATAAAAAAAAAATGATAAATATGTGACCCAGGTCTCCCCATTAGGAAGCCATCTCCCTTTATTTTGTTACCTATAAAGAACTTCAGAGCCAGTGAGTTGAGTCCAGCAGACTGCTATTATAGGAATCGGAGTAGGTCGGTAGACACCAGTCAGCCTTCAGAGTCTTGGCCAGAGTGGTGAGTGCTTGCTCTCATAGTCAGGGAGGTGCAGAAGCATGTACTAAGCAAGGAGTGTAAGAAAAGGGAGCTGGGTTAGCCATCCAGAGATCTGCGTCCTCCTGCCACGGACAGCTGTGTGATCTTGGGCAGTTCACTCAACTTCTCTCAACCTCAATGTCTTCATTTGTTGATCGGGGAAATCTAACAGGGTCGTAAGGCTAGTATGCAAAAGTCTCTATGTGAAGTCTAAATGCCACATACTTGGAGAAGACTGTTGTTTCGGGCATAAAGGCTTTCAATAATAAGTGGTTTCTTATTCAATTTGGAAAAAGTAAGTTGTTGGATAATGTGTACTTCGTTATTGAAAACCTCAATTGTGTGTCATACAGCTCCTTCCCCTCAGAGAACACAGTTCCTTAATTTGGAATTTGGAAAATTTTCTCATTGTTCTTTTGCTGGTAAATAACTAATAGCATGTAATAATGGTTTAGTGTTCAGTGTTTCCTCCTGCATTCAGCAGTGCGTGTGAAGGAAAGCTGCCTTATCCTCTTCCCCATGGAGCAGTAGCGTAGGGCCTGTGGCCTTCTCGTGACAGCCAGCATCACACAGAGCATGCCGGGCGCTGGCCTCTCTCTGGCATCGCCGTGCAGGACTTTAGGTTTCATCCTCAGAAACAGCTTCGTGTCCAGACATCGCTTTGAGTGCTTTGGATTGCCCGTCTATCACTTTTTCCTTATTTTCAGTTCTTTTATGTCTGTGCCTTCTTTTCTGTTTTTCTGATAGAATTCCTGAATAATCCTCCCTTCCTTTTCATAGGATTAATACTAGTTATATTTATTCTGTCATTTTTTGTTTTGTTTTTTTCTGTCATTTTATTTTGTTTTCTAATTCTATTTATTATTAGTTTGTTCAGTGTTTTGTTTGTTTGTTTGTTTTGTCTTCTTGTCTTTGAGACGATTTCACAGTCAGTTCAGGCTGGCCTTGAACTCACTTTGTAACCCAGGCTGGCCTTGAATTTAGAGCGATTCTCCTGCCTCAGCCTCCGAAGTGCTGAGATTACAGGCTTGTACCACTATGCCTAGCCCTTTATAAATTTTTGGAGACATAGTCTCACTGTGTAGTTCAGGCTAGTCTTGAACTCACTGTGTAGCCCAAGCTGTCCTTGAATTTGTGGTGATCCTCCTGCTTCAGCCTTCCAAGTATTAAAATACAGGCATATGCCACCAAGTTGAGCTATCTAGTCCATTATTTTTTTGTTTCATCTTGACTAATTCCTTCCTTTCCTTCTTTCCTTAACCTTATTATATTGTTCTTATTTCTTGATTTGGGTATTTAATTTATTTACATTTGTTCTGGGTTTTTGTTTGTTTTTAACAATATTGAATGCTATGAATTTTTCTCTGAACATTGTGTAATTATGTTGATATTTATTTAAATGCTTTTCTAGACAAGATTAAGAGATTTCCTGCTAGAAAATGAAAGCTGATTTTAAATTACTTGTATTTTGGGAGCTGAACATAGAAAATCAGAATTGTTGGGTATTTACGAAAAAAAATTTTACCTGTAATTTCAACTGCTCTGCTTACTGAAGCATTTAGTGGCATTTTCTGTGAAACCCTTTATTCCATTGTGTTTATTTATTAATTACACAAACATTTTAACTGAGTTCTTAAGAGGGTTCCAGGCTTTGGTCTGGTTCCAGCCCTGGGACTGATACTGAATATAGTCCTTTCTGTGAAAAAACTCAGTTTCCCAAGTGTGACAGCCACATAAACAGATAATGGCGGTAGCTGGCACATGCCTGACTAGGATGTTCCTGGGGGAATAACAGATCGCCAGAAGGGATCCCTAACCAGCTTGTGAGTAGAACTGGGAAGAAGGCCAGGGCAGGACTCTTGGAAGAGATACTACTTTCACTGACTCTTTAAGGTAAGGAGGTGATTGGCAGAAGAGTAGAAGCAGCTTCCAGGACAAAGCCTGCAATGGTGGCTGCGGGGAAGGAGCGTGTTCCTGTGCAGGCGGTTAGGAGTCAGCAGGGACGAGACAGGCCTGAAGGCAAGGGCTGCGTGGGGAGAGTTTGCCGGTGTTGTGTGGGACCTTTGCTGTCTTCTCCTCTGTGAGGGGAGCCCCAGAGGCACAGTTGCCTCACCTTGTGGCCAGAGGATAGTGGGCAGGAGGGTACAGCATCATCACCCTGCCCTCAGGGCAGAGGCCGAGGAATCATCGTGAACTAGTCTAACGCAGGAGTACTCTGATGACAGTGAAGACTGGGAATAAAACTTTGAGGGATGCAGATTTCACATTAAAGGCTCAAGCTCTTAAAGAGTGACTAAAAGCAGCCTCACTTACCTTGAATTTCTTTAACCACTTGGTATGATGTAGGTTTGTGTGAAGCCTACAAGAAGTAACTATCAAACTCACTCTTTCCCTGCCACATGAGCAGTGGGCACCTGAGAAATGTTTGTGTAAGCACGTGTGCACTTGAACTATGGAGGGTATGTGTCCTTGGAGTGGGGTTATCCCAGAGGTGCCATAGAAATCCAGGCAGAGGTCGGGTCAGATTTAGCCCTTTCCCTTGGCATGTGAGAGTCTGGTTGTTCTTGGGGACAGGATCCTTTGGTGGGCATATGCGTGTTCTTCAACACAGCATTCTAGCCGTGGGTGCACCTGGGTTAGGGGCACAGTGGTGGCTCCCAGGGCTCCGGAGTGTGGCCCCCATGTGAGGTCTTCCTATCTCCACCTCAGGCAGCCCTGCAAGGGAGTGTGCCTTTGTGGTTCTGCTGTGAGCACAGAAGAATGTGGTGAATGAGCCCAGCCTGTGGTGAGGAGTGGGAGGTAGCGACTCAGGGAGCAGGGCCCGCGCTGTGCCTGCGAGTGTGAGATTTCAGGACCCGCTATCGGCTATTAGGAGCAGCTCCAGCTCTCCCAGCCTGGGAGTTTAATCAAAGGGATACCAGCAGACCACCCAGGCCGGCGCCGCCATCCTGTGCTGCTGCTGCTTTGGTCTCTGCTCCCCAGCCAGCCTTGCAGGGATGTGGCCAGGCCTTCTGGAAATGTGCTGACAGACAGAGAGG